CAGAATTTAGTGCATCCTTGGGGCTCAATAAATCACTATTGCTATTATTATTATCTTAAAGATTAATTACTTAATTTATTTGAGAGAGCGAGCACTTGTGTGCACAAGCGAGTGAGCGAGGGGAAAGGCAAAGGGAGAGGGAGAGAAGCAGACTCCCCGCTGAGTGCGGAGCCTGATCCCAGGAACCAGAGATCACGACCTGAAGCAGAATCAAGAGTCAGTCACCCAACCAAGCCACCCAGGTGCCCCTATTATTAATATCTAAATCCCTCCCTGGCTCCCAGACAGCCATCATTTATTCACTCATTCATTCATTCATTCATTCAACAAATATTTATTAGGCACTTACTATGTGCCAGCCCTCAGAGGGGCTGAGAATACAGCAGGAAAGAAGACAACCTTGTCCCACACTTCAAGGAGCTGACATTCCTAGGGCAGAGGGGAACTCAGGTCTTGTGCAAATATGCAAATAAACAAAAGGATTTCAGATAATGACATTCGAGGGGGGAAAAAAACAAAGTGGTATGATAACAAATGGCTGAAGAGCTATACTGGCTTGTAGGTTTGGGCAAGGCCTCAAAGGCAGTAAGCTTCGAGCTAAATTCTACTGCTGAGAAGCCAATCTTTTGAAGTCCTGGGGGAACATTCAAGGCAAAGGAAATACCAGTGCAAAGGATCTGGGATAGGAATGAGCAGGGTGAGGAGACAGGAACACAAGTCATTAAACTTGAAGGCAGTCCAAGAGCCAGAAAAGAAGTACAAACAAGTACTTCAGAGAAGAAGTTCTGGGGAACAGGTTGGGGCCCTCCCTTGGACATTCATGCCTCAAACATTTATTGAACATCTAACACGTGATTGTGCATCAGTGGATGACTCAGAGGCAGTCTGTCCCTGATGACAAACTCCCAGGGCACCCTGGGAAGCAGACACAGATTAAAAAAAGAAGAAGAGGAAGAAGAAAAAAAGTAACTGCAAGCTAAAACCAAAGATCATCTGCCTTGGGGTGGAGGATGGCTCCATGAGCCTGAGGATTCTTCACAGTCCTTAGGAGAGGATAGTGTTGAACCTCTGGGATTTACTTATTCAACAAGCATTTTCTTGAGCATTTATGCTATGCCAGGCACTATGGACTGCTGGGGACATAGATGCCTTAGTTCTTGTCCCAGTCTGGGGACCTTACATTCTAGTGGGAGAGGCAGATGTCTGAGCATGGTTCTCAAACTCTGAAGTGCCTAGAAATCATTTGAGATAATTTGGAGTGGAGAAGGACTCTAACTGTGTGACTCAACATTGAGAAACCATAAAAGAAAAGATTATGTATTCAGCTATATTTTAAAAGTATTCTGGGGGCACTTGGGTGGCTCAGTTGGTTAAGCATCTCATTCTTGATCTAAGCTCAGGTCTTGATCTCAGGGTTGTGAGTTCAAGCCCCGCATTGGGCTCCACACTGGGCATGGAGCCTAGTTTAAAAAAAAAAAAAAAAGTGTTCTGCATGTTCAGCTGGTCATACCTGAACAGAGTCAAATGACATACAGAAAGAAAGCTATATTGGAACTAAAATAGGCAAGATGCTTATCTCCTCTCTCTCTTTCCCCACCTCTCTCCCTCTTTCCCTCTCTTTTTCTGCATCTGTCTCTCTCTCCCTCTTTCTCATTCTCTTCTCCCTCCTCTCTGCATAAACTAAGACCAACAAAATGGTAGAAAATTGGGCAAAGAATATGAACATAGTTCAGGTAAATGAAATACAAATGAGCCTTAAGTATGTAAAAAGACATTTAATCCCACTTATAGAAATTAATAAAAGAAATAGAAATAAAACACAAAACTATGCAGAGATGTGATTCTTCACCCATCAGACTAGCAAATGTTGTTGGCAAAGCTGTGGGAAAGCAAAGAGTCAGACACACTCACACATTGTTGGTGAGAATGTAATTGATCTAACCTCTGTGGAAGGCAACGTGTCCAGATCTATCAAAATTACAGACACCGTATATTCTTTGACCCAGCAATACCACTTCTGGGATTCCAGAATATAGATCTACTTGCCCATGAATGAAATGAAGCTATGCTTGTAATAGCAAAATATTGGAAATGATCCAAATGTACTACAAGAGAGACAGTTTAAGTAAATTATCTTATATTCATACAATGAAATAATCCTAAGAAGCCAAAAAAAAAATGAGGATATTCCTTATGTATTGATCTAGGGAAAATCTCTAAGATATATTGTTACATGGAAACAAAAAGCAAGGTCTTTACTAAGTGTATATAATACAGTAGCCTCTGTATTTAAGAAAGTGTAAAATAAGAATATAACCTTATTTTTTTTAAGATTTTATTTATTTATCTGACAGAGAGAGGGAACACAAGCAGGGGAGTGGGAGAGGGAGAAGCAGGCTTCCCACTGAGCAGGGAGCCTAATGCGGGGCTCGATCCCAGGACCCTGGGATCATGACCTGAGCTGAAGGCAGCCGCTTAACTGACTGAGCCACCCAGGGGTCCCAAAATGTAACTTTACATTTGTTTGTATGTACTTCAAGAAACTCTGGAAATACATACAATTACATTTTAAAAACCCACCACAAAGTGTTTCCTTGGTTGGATGGAGTCGGGTAGACTGGATTGAGACCTAGGAGGATGGGGAGTGGAGTTGAGAGGAGGAGTTTTCACTGCATATATTTTTTTTAATTGAGAACTTTATTTTGATACAATTTGCTTTCACTGTAATGTTATATAATTTATTTTGTACATCCAAAAACTTCATTCTGAGAAGGGTTCCCCAGGCTGCCAAAGATGTCCATGGCACAAAAGCAGTTACAAATCACTGCTCTAGGGGGGCCCGGCTGGCTCAGTCATATAGTGTGCGACTCTTGATCTTGGGGTTGTGAGTTCAAGCCCCATGTTGGGCACGGAAGCCTATGTAAAACAAAATAAAACAAACAAAAACAAATCACTGCTGTAAGTGATCACACTTTTCCATTATTGCCCTTCCCTCATGACCATTTGCATTTTAAAATAACAGCTTTGGGCCACTAGGGTGGCTCAGTTGTTAGGCATCTGCCTTTGGCTCAGGTCATGATCCCAGAGTTATGGGATTGAGCCCCCAGTCGGGTTCCCTGCTCAGTGGAGAGCCTGCTTCTCCCTCTGCGCCTCATCCAGCTCATGCTTGCTCTCTTTCTCTTTCTCAAATGAATAAGTAAAATATTTTTTTAAAATAAAATAACAGCTTTATTGAGATATAATGCCCATATGATTAAGTCCACCCTTTTGAGATGTACAATTCAGTGGTTTTTAGTATATTCACGAAGTTGTCCGACGATCATTGCTATGTAATTATAGAATATTTTTATTGCCCTCAAAAAGAAACTGCATACCTATTACAATTACTCCGTATTTCCTCCTGTCAACCACTACTCTACTTTTGGTCTTTATGGCTTGGTCTATTCCAAATATTTCATATAAATAGAATTATACAATATGGGGTCCTTTTATACTAGCATTTCATGTGTCATAATATCACCCATGCAGTAGTATGTATCCTTCTTCATTGCCAAATAATATTCCATTTATGGAGATGCCACATTTTTTTTATCCACTCATCAGCTGATGAAGATAGGGTTGTTTCTACTTTTTAACTATTATAAATAATTCTGCTATGAACATTTGTGTACAATTTTTTTAAAAGATTTTATTTATTTATTTGACAGACAGAGATCACAAGTAGGCAGAGAGGCAGGCAGAGAGGGAGGAAGGGAAGCAGGCTCCCTACTGAGCAGAGAGCCAGATGAGGGGCTTGATCCCAGGACCCTGGAATCATGACCTGAGCTGAAGGCAGAGGCTTTAACCCACTGAGCCACCCAGGTGCCCCATGTGAACAATTTTTTTAAAGATTTTATTCACTTATTTGTCAGAGTGGGAGAGAGCACAAGTGGGGGAGTGCAGGCAGAAGGAGAACCAGGCTCCCCACTAAGTAGGGAGTCCAATGCAAGGGTTGATCCCAGGACCCTGGGATCATGACCTGAGCTGAAGGCAGATATGTAACTGACTGAGCCACCCAGGCGTCCATGTGTACAAGACATATATCCCTGTGTGGATATATATTGTCACTTCCGTTGGGTATATATCTAGGAATGGAATTGCTGGGCCATATTAGTAATTCTTATTTTTTTAGGTACTGCCAAACTATTTTTCCAAAGTAGCTGCACCATTTTACATTCCTACCAGCAATATTTGAGGGTTCCATTTCCTCCATATCCATGGGAACACTTGTTATGGTCTGTCTTTTTTATTTTAGCCATCCTACTGGGTGTGAAGTGGTATCTCATAGAGATTTCAAAATGCATTTCCCTAATGACTAACAGTGCTGGACATCTTTTCATGTACTCATTGTGCATAAATTTATTATATTGTTTGATTTCTAAACCACATAAATGCATTGCCTAGTCAACATTTTAGATTAAAAATAAAGGTCTCGGGCCCAGTTTGGAAGAATGATTTATTTGGGTGAGGGTAAGACCCAGAAATATATGGGGTTTTTATTTTAATTTTTAAAAGATTTTTTCTTTATTTATTTGACAGAGAGAGATCACAAGCAGGAGGAGCAACAAGCAGAGGGAGAGGGAAAAGCAGACTTTCTGCGGAGCAGGGAGCCTGACACAGGGCTCTATCCCAGGACCCTGGGATCATGACCTGAGCCCTGAGTGAAAAGCAAAATGCTCAACTGACTGAGCCACCCAGGTGCCCCTATGTGTGTGTGTGTGTGTTTTTTTAAGATTTACTTATTTGAGAGAGAGAAAGAGCATGCACAAATGAGGGGAGGGCTGGAGGGAGAGGGAGAGAAAATCCTCAAGCAGACTCCCAACTGAGTGCAGGGCCCCAGAGGGGCTTGATCCCAGGACTCTGAGATCACGACCTGAGCCAAAATCAAGAGCCGGCCGCTTAACTGACTGAATCACCTAGGTGCCCCAGAAATATATGCTTTTATTTTTACTCATTTTTTAAAACAGTAATTTATTGCTCTTTCTTTCCAAAGCTTTGTGAATTTACAAAGAAAAAAAAAAAAGGATTAGAGTTTTCAGACTGCTCAGTTCAGGCTAAGAATGCCGAGAGGTGAGAGCCTGGACCACCATGGCCACTGGGTGTTTACCAGCAGATGTGCACAGATTTCTACAACAAGCTCCCTCAGATTAGTTTTCTGCCTTTAGAGATGCTGTGTCCCTTACCCACCATCTCTCAGGACCTACGTGGGTCACTAGTCAAGTCACTGGGACGGAACAGAGGGTTTTGGGGTTTGGTTTTGTTTTTTGGCCCTCCAGCTATAAAATGAAATTTTCAGTTCATTTCTGAAAAATAAATTGGTCAATAAATTCATTTTGTTCTGCTTCTATTTTACACAAAGCTTCCTCTTCAACCCGATACCTTCCAAGCTGCATTTTCTGTTCTGCTGTCAGTGCTTGCAGTGGCTGCTGTTGGGCTTCTCTCAGTTTTGCTATAGATTTGAACAAGTTCCGAGCACCAATGGCCTTCATCTTCTCATTTTTTGCTTCTTTTGCAAATTGGTCAACAAGCTCAAGTAAACCACCGACTATTTTCTGAAACTGGCTAATTTTGTCCACAGAGTCCTTGTACTCTTCCTTGAGCTCTGTGGTCTGCTAGGTAACCTCAGGGTCCCACACATGCAGCTTGTCCAGTTCATCAAAGTGCAGCCTGCTTCACCCTGGATCTCCTTGGCCATAGCTGCCAGCCCCGTAGCGGGGAAGCTTCAGAAGAAGCTGATTCTGGCAGCAGCTTCTCTCCTGGGTCAGCTGCATCTTACCTTGCCCGCTGGCCTCAGCTGCTGCCACTGAAATATATGCTTGTAATAAGAATCCTGGGTGATTAAAAAAAAATCCTGGGTGATTCTATCACAGATGGTCTTTTTAAAAATTATTTATTTATTTATTTGACACAGAGAGAGAGAGAGAGAGAGAGAGAGAGAAAGCAAGAGAGGGAACATAAACAGGGGGAGTGGGAGAGGGAGAAGCAGACACCACCCCCCAACAACTGAGCAGGGACCCTGATGTGGGACTCAATCCCAGGACACTGGGATCCTGACCTGAGCCAAAAGCAGATGTTTAATGACTGAGCCACCCAGGTGCTTCTAGCACAGATGGTTTTAAACCAGGCTTAACAAACACTGCGGGGCGCCTGGGTGGCTCAGTGGGTTAAGCCTCTGCCTTCAGCTCAGGTCATAATCTCAGGGTGCTGGGATTGAGACCTGCATCAGGCCCTCTGCTCAGCGGGGAGCCTGCTTCCCCCTCTCCCTCTGCCTGCCTCTCTGCCTACTTGTGATCTCTCTGTCAAATAAATACGTAAAATCTTAAAAACAAACACTGCAACTCACTGAGCAAGAGCTGTAGGAGCTGATGTTGGAGAGGTGATTTTTGCTGGAGTAGTAAGATGGATTCGAAAGAGTCAGCAGAGTTTGCAGAGGGCAAGAAAAGATGTTCTGGAGAGTGTAGGGGGAGGAGACAGACACAGGCTTATTTTACCTCACTGCGTTTCGCTTTATGGTGCTTCACTTTATTGAGCTCCACAGTGCATTTTTCATAAATTGAAGGCTTGTGGCAACCCTACACTGAGCAAGTCTATCCGTGCCATTTTTCCAACAGCATTTGTTCGCTTCATGTCTCTGTGTCACATTTTGGTAATTCTTGTGATTTCAAATTTTTTCATTATTATTTTACTTATTGTGGTGATCTGTGATCAGTGATCTTTGACATTACTATTGTAATTACTTGGCACCACCATGAGCTATGCCTATATAAGACAGAGAACTTCATTGACAAATGTGTGTGTTGTGACTGCCCACCACTTGGCCATTTCTCTCTCCATCTCCCTCCTTCTCCTCAGGCCTCCATATTTCCTAAGACACAATAATATTGAAATTAGGCCAATTAATAATCCTACAATGGCCTCTAAGTGTTCAAGTGAAAGGAAGAACCACAAGTCTTCCACTTTAAATCAAAAGCTAAAAATGGTTCAGCTTAGTGAGGAAGCTGTGTTGAAAGTTGAGACAGGCCGAAAGCTAGGCCTCTTGCACCAAACAGCCAAATTTGGGGTGCAAAGAAAAAGGTGCAAAGGAAAGTAAGAGTGCTACCTCAGTGAATACACAAATGGTAAGAAAGTGAAACAGTCTTATTGCTGATAAAGGGAAAGTTCTAGTAGTGTGGATAAAAGATCAGACCAGCCACAACATTCCCTTAAGCCAAAAACTAATTGAGAGCAAGGCCCTAACTCTTTTCAGTTCTGTGAAGGCTGAGCAAGGTGCGGAAGCTGCAGAAGAGAAGTGTGAAGCTGGCAGAGGTGGTTCATGAGGCGTAGGGAATCTATAACATCAAAGTGCAAGATAAAGCAGCAAGTAGAAGCTGCAGCAACTTACCCAGATCTAGCTAAGATCATTAATGAAGGCGGCTACACTAAACAACAGATGATATGTAGAATTAACAGCCTTCTACTGGAAGAAGATACCATCTAGGACTTTCAGAGCTAGAGAGAAGTCAGTGCCTGACTTCAAAGCTTCACAGGACAGACTGACTTTCTTGTTAGAGATGAGTGCAGCTGGTGACTTGAAGTTGAAGTCAGTGCTTTTTTGCCATTCCGAAAGTCCCAGGGCCCTTAAAAGTGATACTAAATCTACTCTGACTATGCTCTATACATGGAACAGTAAATCCTGGATGATAGCCTGTCTGTTTATAACGTGGTTTACTGAATATTTTAAGCCCACTGTTGAGAAGTACTGCTTTAAAAAAAAAAAGATTCCTTTCAAATGTTACTGCTCATTGACAATGTACCTGGTCACCCAAGAGCTCTCTTGGAGATGTATAATGAGAATAAGGTTGTTTTCATGCCTACTAACACAACATTCATTCTGCAGCTCTTGGATCAAATGGTCATTTCGACTTTCTTATTATTTAAGAAATACAACTTTCGGGGCACCTGGGTGGCTCAGTGGGTTAAAGCCTCTGCCTTCAGCTCAGGTCATGATCCCAGGGTCCTGGGATCGAGCCCCACATCAGGTTCTCTGCTCAACGGGGAGCCTGCTTCCCCCTCTCTCTCTGCCTGCCTCTCTGCCTACTTGTGATCTCAGTCTGTCAAATAAACAAATCTTTTTTTTTTTAAGATTTTATTTATTTATTTGACAGAGAGAGATCACAAGTAGACAGAGAGGCAGGCAGAGAGAGAGAGAGAGAGAGAGAGAAGCAGGCTCCCTGCTGAGCAGAGAGCCCGATGCGGGACTCGATTCCAGGACCCTGAGATCATGACCTGAGCTGAAGGCAGCGGCTTAACCCACTGAGCCACCCAGGCGCCCCCAAATAAACAAATCTTAAAAAAAAAAAAAAAGAAGAAATACAACTTTCTTTTCTTTTTAAAAAAGATTTTATTTATTTATTTGAGAGAGAGTGAGAGCCTGCGCATAAGTGGGGGGAGGGGCGGGAGAGGGAGAAACAGACTCCCTGCTGAGTAGGACTCAATCCCTGTTCTCTGGGATCATAACCAGAGCCAAAGGCAGATGCTTAACTAACTAAGCCACCCAGGTCCCCCATAATTTTTTTTTTCTTTCATAGCTTTGACATTTTTATTTTTTAAATAGGCTCTACACCAAGCCTGGAGGCCACCACAGGGCTTGAACCCACTACCCTGAGACCAAGATCTGTGGCTAAGAACAGTCAAGACACTCTGCTAACTGAGCCACCCAGCATCCCCATAGCCTTGACATATTAAAAAATACAGTCTAGTTATCTTATAGAATGCCCTTCAATTTATCTATCATTGCTTCGTAATTAGATTCAGGTTGAATGTTTTTGTTTTTGGCAGAAATATCACAGAAGTGATGCTGTGGCCTCAGTGTAACAGAAGACGGGAGATGTCAGTTTGTCTCATTACTGATCAAGTTAACTTTGATTACTTCGTTAAGGGGGTGTTCCCCAGGTTTCTTCACTGTAAAGTTACTATTTTCTCTTTGCAATGATTAAGTAAGTAATCCATGGGTAGATATTTTGAGACTGTCAATCAGGTGTCCTATTGGGAGTTACAGAACCCTTTTTAAGTATTACTTCCCCATCTGTGAAGTGGGGACAGTGGTGTCTTAAACTCTTAGAGTTTAAGAAGGTAAAAGTGCTCAACACTTTAAGAGATACGGTCCAGGTAGAGGGCAAAAAGATGCCATCCAGGGGCGCCTGGGTGGCTCAGTGGGTTAAGCCGCTGCCTTCGGCTCAGGTCATGATCTCCGAGTCCTGGAATCGAGCCCCGCATTGGGCTCTCTGCTCTCTAGGGGAGCCTGCTTCCTCCTCTCTTTCTGCCTGCCTCTCTGCCTGCTTGTGATCTCTCTGTCAAATAAATAAATAAAATCTTTAAAAAAAAAAAAAAAAAGATGCCATCCACGATGACTAACTTCTTGGACAGTCTGAAGCGGCAAAGGCAAACCGCGGCGGGGCCGCGAAAGCGTGCACGTGCGCGTGCGCGAGGGCGTGACCACAGAGTCGGTCCTCCGGAGACAGAGAGGCCGGAAGTTGTGCTCAGAACCGCGCGACTGTTAGGGTAGCAAGCTGAGGCAGTGCTAACCGGGTGTGCGGGCAACTGGCCTGTTAGTCCCGGTGGAGGGTCGGCGTGCGGGGATCTGGGGTTCTGGGCAGGGATAATGGCATCCCGGGCAGGCCCGCGAGCGGCCGGTACCGACGGCAGCGACTTTCAGCACCGGGAGCGCGTCGCCATGCACTACCAGATGAGGTATGAAGTGAGGCGAGGAGCACGGAGGCCTTCTCCCCAGCCAGAGCCTGGAGGGCCTGGAAAGCGACACCGGCCGGTCCTCGCGCACCTCCTCCCGTGACGGCCCAGAGCCTGTCCCCAATTTCGGGAAGCCCCTTCGCTCCCATAAGCACCACCCGGTGATCCGCCCTGTTCTTGGAAGGGTCCAGTCCCTACCTTCTAGGCTCCGGAGTCCGGAGCGATGCTGGCCTCGCTGTGACCTCGGAAACCCAGTTTTTAATTAAAACCCACTTTCCTCATCTGTGAAGGGAAAAACAATCCATTATTTAGGTTTTGGTGAAGAATTAGTGAGGTAGTAATTCGTGTAAAGAGCCTGCCCAATACATGGTAGCTGTTATATTTCGGGTCGTTTTGGAGAATGTGGACGATAAAGCCCATCCTTTCCTCGCCTACAGGGAATTTTAGGAACACTCCCATGTAAGGGTTATTTCTACTTTCGTTTATTCGTCCGACAAGTATTTATTGAGTTTCTACCCATCGGGCATTGTGCTAGGCACTGAGGATATAATAGTAAGCAAAACAGACCTGGTCTTTGTATGCCTGTTACACCCTAAAAAAAAAAAAAAAAAAAAAAGTTTCTTTAAAAAAGTCAAAAGCTGGTCCCTGCCTTCATGGATCATGAAGTCTACAGGTGACTGACTTTTTCCCCTTTACCTTTCCACGTTTTCTATAATGAATATTTTTAAAATAAAATTTTTGGAAAAAAAGATTTTCTTTTCTTAAATCCATCAAACTCTCCCAGAGTGTTACAAGCTCCTTGGACCTTCTTCTCATTCTTATCCTTAGACCCCAGACTAAGAGGATATGACAGTCCAAGCAAGTGTTTTGATAACTGTCCAGAGCAGAAACTGCCCTCACGTGTGAGGAGAATACATTGAGGACCTGAGAGAATTAGAATAATAGAAATATATGTGCTTGCTTTGGCTGTAACATCTATTCTAGCTGGGGAAATATGGGCACCCTGAGTTGATTTCCTTGCTGCCAGTATCTCCTTCCTCTAGGCTATGTTCTTATGGTGCAATCAAAGTCATCTCTCTAAACACAGCTCTGAGTTACTCTTTTGCCTTTAATCTGACTCACGCCTTGCAGCTTCATATCCTGCTCTTCCCCTTCCCACTGCAAAGTATTCCTGCCACACTACCTGCTTTCCTGGAACACAGTGCTTATGTCTTTTTGACTGCATGCTTTTACCTCTGATGGGAATCCCTGCTGCAGCCACCCTTCAGAGCCTATCTCAAATATCACTGTCCTCTAGATAACCTCAGACATCCCATCCTAAGCTGAATTGATTACTCCTTCCTGTGATCTCATATATCTGGCAACATATATTTTCTAGAGTTCTTCCAGTTCATTTTCCAATTATTTTTTCTTTTTATTTTTTAAAGTAGACACCACACCTCGTGTGGAGCCCAACGTGGGGCTCAAGCTCACAACCCTGAGATCAAGACTTTAGCTGAGATCAAGAGTCAGATGTTTAACTGACTGAGCCACTCAGACACCCTTTATTTTTTATTTTTGTTCCTTGTCCCCAAGAATCCAGGCAGGGACTGTATCTTACTCACGTTTGTATCCCAGTGTCCAGTAAAATTGCTTGGCATTATAGTTGGTCAGAAAATTTGAATGAAAGGTACTTCTTCCTCTGCTCTGCCCCACAGTGTGACCCTCAAGTATGAAATCAAGAAGCTGATCTACGTGCATCTGGTCATATGGCTGCTGCTGGTTGCCAAGATGAGTGTGGGACACCTTAGGCTATTGTCACATGATCAGGTGGCCATGCCTTATCAGTGGGAATACCCCTATTTGCTGAGCATTGTGCCCTCTCTTTTGGGCCTCCTCTCCTTCCCTCGCAACAACATTAGCTACCTGGTGCTCTCCATGATCAGCATGGGGCTCTTTTCCATAGCTCCTCTCATTTATGGCAGCATGGAGATGTTCCCTGCTGCACAGCAACTCTACCGCCATGGAAAGGCTTACCGCTTTCTCTTTGGTTTTTCTGCTGTCTCTGTCATGTATCTGGTGTTGGTGCTGGCGGTTCAAGTACATGCCTGGCAGTTGTACTACAGCAAGAAGCTCCTAGACTCTTGGTTCACCAGCACACAGGAGAAGAAGCGTAAATGAAGCCTGCCTGTACCTGTAGAGTGAAGCCTGGGCCTCCCATTGAGCCAAGTGGGAACATAGAGGAGCTGTTCTGAAATTGTTGGTGATTTTGGCAGCTGGTGCAAACTAGGCCCACGTTCTGGAAAGCCCCTCCTGTTGCTATCAGCTGAGGTGACAAAACTGTATTTAATTTATTCCTGGTTGGCTGGAACTGGATGATCAACAACTATAAAGCCAACTTCAACTGGTTGAAGTTGAGGCCCTTCAGGGTTTTTCAAGACAAAGCCTCATCCTTGCCTCCTCTTGGTCATTCTCTCTGCTTGCATCCATTACCCCTTAGCCATCAAGACTGAAAGAGATAGGGAATAAATCAAATTCTACTTCAGTCTGTAGGTAGTGGGGCAGGAAACATTTGGGAGGCTCCCCCTGCAGGCTGTGGTCTCTACTGCAAAGCATTTTAATTAAAAAGAACTTCAATAAAGTTACAACTGTCTTGTCCACCCTGTGCCTTGTGTTGGAATTTGATAAACTGTGACAGGTATGTTGCTTGATTGGCTGTAGACACAAGGAGGTAGCTAGAAGTTTCCCATGAAAACTGGAAGTAGCAGTATAAAAGTGAACTGGCCATAGGGAAACTTAAGTCATAGTGGGAGCCCTGCATCTGATTGACAGAAACTACCGTGGGCCAAACATTTAATCTCCCCACCTGTAAAATGGCCCATTCTCACTTATCCTGCTTGGGTTATGGCCTCTTCTTTTGGTAGGATATTCATGTTTATCATTCAGGGTTAACAGATTGTCCTTTATGTGTCTAATATGGTATCCAAATAATTTTAAGGTATCCCTGCCTGTAATCTGGGTGAGAGATGGTATACATGTGAAACAACTAATAAATTCAGTATCTAATAGTGTGGAGCAGATGAATTAAAAATGGAAGTGGGAAAGCTGTGAACTAAAGGCCGTTTTTCATACCTAAAAGTCTGACATAGTAAATATGTACTGCAGGAAAGATGCATGTCCCTTTGGTCTTGTCCGCTTGACTTTATTGTCTCTGGATGCTGTCCAGACCTCTATTTGCAGACCTCTGCCCTCTCCAGAGTTCTAGTCATTTTTTTTTTTTAGTCCTTTTATTCTATAAACATTAAGTATATACTCAGTCATTCTTAGATACTGGCAGTATTTAACACTGCCAAACCTCTTCCTCCACATGTCCTGATTATCCTCTCAAGCTCCATGTGTCCCAAAGTTAACTCCTTGTCTTCTACCTCCTACCCATACCTCTTCCTGTATCCCTGTTTGCAAGTGAGTATACCAAAAGCACAGTTCTAGATCTATGGGATACAAATAGAATTGAGATGCAAATAGCACAAGTTACTACTATATGCTATTGTTTTTTGAACTGCCAAAATACCTTTCTCTCAGGTGTTTTCGAGGTGTGACTTCAGTGCACCAGTCTTACATTATCTCCCAATACTCTCAGACTCATCAGTAGAACCTCATGAATCCCCATATTGCTTTCATATTTTCCCAGTTTGTTGAAAAATTCCCCTTTTAGACCTTTATATGCCTTTATTACTTATCCTTCAGGATTCAGTTTATATGGTAATTCAGGAGCCTTCTGGTTGCTTCAAAGAATAAGAGTTCTTTCTTTGGGGGCACCTGGGTGGCTCAGTGGGTTAAAGCCTCTGCCTTTGGCTCAGGTCATGATCCCGGGGTCCTGGGATCAAGCCCTGCATCAGGCTCTCTGTGAAGCAGGGAGCCTTCTTCCCTTCCTCTCTCTCTGCCTGCCTCTCTGCCTACTTGTGATCTCTGTCTGTCAAATAAATAAATAAAATCTTTAAAAAAAAAAGTTCTTTCTTTGAATCTGTGTGGCATTTTTATTTTACCTCTTATAGACAGAATTATTTGTTTACATGTCTTTTCCTCACCCCTTGCTCAGTGCCTAAACCTAGTGTGTGCTCTACTGAATGAAATAACTTGGGGCGCCTGGGTGGCTCAGTGGGTTAAGCCGCTGCCTTCGGCTCAGGTCATGATCTCGGGGTCCTGGGATCGAGCCCCGCATCGGGCTCTCTGCTCGGCGGGGGGCCTGCTTCCTCCTCTCTCTCTGCCTGCTTGTGATCTCTCTCTGTCAAATAAATAAATAAAATCTTTAAAAAAAAAAAAAAGAAATAACTTGTGCTACTGTAGACTGAAGACAGGATATATTGCACAGAGGAAAGAATTAGACTGAGGCAGGCATAGAATTTGGAGAGCAAAGGAAAGGAGATGGAAATGTGTGAGTAATGGAATTATGTGCACCAGGCACAGATTGCTAATTTTTAAAGAATTGGGATGCAAATTTTTAAAAAATTTTTTAAGTTAAACTTTTCTTTGATAATTGGGATGATACTTCACAGACAGACTTAGAGTGCTTTTAAAGACCCATTATGGAAATTACTGTCAATGAAAAAAGCCATTTGGTTTATTTTCATTTTCTACTTATTGGGTTATTGGGGTTCTGCTCTTCCAATCATTTTTCTCCTGCCTCATGGTTGTAGCAAACAAGATCTCCTTTGAAAGAAATCTTGATTTAGTGGGAAGAGCACTGTATTTGGATGGTAGAAGATGGGTTCGAGTACCAGCACACCTAATCATATGGCTAAAATCAACCCTGCCTATTTCACAGGACTGTTTTGAAGATCAAATAAGGTGAAGTATTACGAAGGTGCTTTGTGAATTATGTAACACTATATAAATGGGAGAAACGGCTATTTCCTCATGTTTGCAGATCTAGGCTATAGGCATTGGAGGGACCCTTAAGAGAGCATCTAGTCTATGAGAAAGGCAGTGTGGCATAGTGGAATGAATACAGCTTCTTATACTAGACAGACTTAGGTTGGAATTCTGCCTTTTGCCTTGAGCAAGATCTCTGATTTTTGATCTGACACATGGGGATCATAGTAGCTACTGAGATTGTGAGGATTAAATAAAACAATGTGTATAAATAGTCGAGTGCATAGCAGGTGCTTAGTAAATACCAAAATCTCCTCCCTTAACTTTCCCCTTTCAGACTAGGAGTCCCTATCTCTCTCTCTCTCTCTCTCTCTCTCTCTCTCTTTTTTAAGATTTTATTTATTTATTTGGCAGACAGAGATTACAAGTAGAGATGCAGACAGAGAGAGAGGAAGGGAAGAAGGCTCCCTGTTGAGCAGAGAGCCCGATTCAGGGCTCGATCCCAGGACCCCGGGATCATGACCTGAGCCGAAGGCAGAGGCTTTAACCCACTGAGCCACCCAGGCGCCCCTGGGAGTCCCTATCTCTTAAGTATAATCTCTTGCCTTGGAATTCTGGAGGTTGATCTCTTCTGGAAGAGCAGAAGTAAGGAAGGAACACCCATCCATTCTTGGTTTACACTGGTCTAATGTGTTGGCCCTTCCTGCCTAAGGTGCCCTAACAGTAGGCGCAGTTGCCCCAAGAGACTTTCGGAATCAGCCATTATAGAAAGAGCCTGGAGATGCTGGTGCATGGTCTGACCAGAGTCCATGTAAGGGTAAGGCTCAAGAAAAACAGCTGTCCAAGGCCCCACAGTGTGCTCTCTATCTGAGCATGTGCAGGGGTCTGCCACAATTTCCTGGCTCCTGGGTTAGTCCCCAAGTAAAGGTTATTAGAGCATGAAGTCTGGGTTAGCTCATTTAGACACAAACCACAGGTAAGACAGGCTTCAGCTGTCTTCTAAGAAGACAGGGCCTCTGTGCTGCTGTTGGCTTTTACTCCAGTTGGCTACCTCGAATTCCAGCCACAGTTACTCCTCCCCTGTTGACTCTTGCCAAACAATCCCTACTAGTCTGGAAGTCTGAACCACTAACTCACTATCATAAGACCTACTTTCCCTTTGTTCTTTCCAACTATTCCAAATTCTTCCTTCATACTGTTAACCCTACCAACTACATTGCACTGCTAAATCTAGTAATTCTGTGGATCCCAGAGCCCATAAACCCCTTAACTTCTCACAGATCTTCCCAAGCAGTATGTTCTGGCAGAAAGACATGGTGGTGAGTCCCAGATCTCCATTTTTGTGTTTGGACAAGTTACTTAATCTTCTTAGTGTGTTCAAATCTGTAGAATGGTTTAAAAGGACTTCAAGGGTTGTAGTACTAATAAAATGAGATAGTGTAGGCAAATCATATGGCCTCGAGTCTGATAGTAAGAATTTAGCAAATCTTGAACTGATTCCCTACTCTTTACTAGATGTGCCTGAGTTTGCCTGCAGTGCTCGCTACCCTAAATCTTTTTTTAGGCTCCACAATCAATAGGCAAACCAGCAAGACAATAAATAAAACACAACCTTCTTTTCTCTGTTCTTTCCCCCTTTCTTCCCCACCTTAATTCCTTTTCCTTTTCTATGCTGTCATTTTCTTCCCTTTATATATTTTTTTCTTTTGTATGTGTGAATGTGGGTCCTTTTATTTCTTTTCTGCTTCTCCTACCATACCTTAGCCTCAGGGTCGGGGAGCAATTAAGGAAATATTTTCACTATGCTAGATCAGAAAATACAAGAGGTCAAGAAATAGAAGTATTCTAGGGATGCCTGGGTGGCTCAGTTGGTTAAGCATCTGCCTTTGGCTTGGGTCATGATCCCAGGGTCCTGGGATTGAGCCCCATGCTGGCTCCCTGCTCAGTGTGGAGCCTGGTCCCTCTCCCTCTGCCCCTTCACCCCTGCTTGTGCTCTCTCCCCTCTCTCCCTCTCTCTCTCTCAAATAGAAGGATGAAATCTTTAAAAAAAGAAAAGAAAAGAAAAAATAGAAGTATTTTAGAATGGAACCAAGCTTCTCACTTCATGCCCTCAGCATTGGAAAATGCATTATTTATATAGATCTAAACCACTGTAAGCTAGGTAAAAATTGGGGGGAAGAACTCCCTAACCTATCCTTAATATGGCTTGCCCACCCTTTGCTTCCTTCGTATCTTACTGATCTGTTTTCACAGTGATGGGCTCCCAGGCCAAAACCCAGGACTGTGCCAGGCAAACCCTTTTGGGTTTCCAAGAGTAGAAGGAGAATAGGCAGTGGGAAGAGAAACCATAGGCTGGTAGAAAGAGGAATGAATTATGAGAAGTGGCAAATTGGAGCTCCCTGGTCTAGAGACCTTTGATGGAATCACTCTTCTTTCTCTTTCCCTATTTCTCTCTTTACAAAATGAAAATAATTCTCACTTACCTGTCTCATGAGATGATTAGGTAGATCAAATACGGAAGTGCTTGTAAAATGTGAAGCAGGTAAACTGCTGCTTAAATGAAATGTATCATTATTTAGTTATTCAATTACAAAACCACCTATTTCTTAACATCAATGGCTAGGCATTGGAGAACGTAAAGTATAGGCAAAACTCAAAAGCCAGAGAGTATTTTTAGGATTATGGGTCGGATGGGTCTTCAGACAATGGACCTAGAATTGGCTACAAGGAGGCTAGGGTCAGGCTGCTGAAAGGTGCAGAGGGACAGTAACAATATCAAGATGACTTAATCCCTTTGGTGTGCCCCAAACTTGCTTTCTATGTGTGTCACCAAGGTAAGGACTGAAGCAGCTCAAATGCTCCATGAGCAGGAGGAAGCTGTGGGATGATAGGGAGGGTCCCCACAAAGCCTGGAGCCTCGTCAGCATCGGAAACCACAGGAAACCAGGTCAGTGCGTGGGGCCTGCTCCTTCGGCTCCAGGGCTCAGCTATGCACTCTGGGGCTTCCTGAGCAGATTGTACTGATTAGAGGATCCTTGAAGCTGGAGACCCCTTTGACATGGAGCCCTTTGTCCAGAAGAGCTGGGTGGGAAGAGAAATCTGGGCTATATAGTGTTGAGGGTCAGCTAGGTGGGGAGTAGTATGTGTATGGGGGCATGTGAGGTTTACGTGCATCCTACAGTGACCTTTTGTTGTTCTGTTCAACTCTAAATGGTGCCTCAGTCACCTCTGTCTCCAGACCCCATTGCAGAATAGTGCTTAATAGTTGTTAATTCTCTAAGTGAGGGGATAAAGCACATCTCCAAGTTAGCTCCAAGTCCAAGAGCATTAGTGGGCGGGTCAAATCTACAGGGTGTTGCAGGAGTAGGAGGGGTTAAGAAGTGGGGACAGCCCTCCATCCCCTTAACCCTGCGCTGGCCTCTTTCCTGTTATTTCTCTGCCAGAGCAGGAGCCCCTTGCCCTCCAGGGGAGCAGTAGGGTTTTCTGGGGGCGGTGGGGGGCGGGGAGGGGTTGCGGCAACTGTCCTTCTGTCCCTCTGCTAGGAGAAGGAATGTGGCCTGGCTGGCTGGTTAGGATCTAGGATCGAGGAGGAGCTTTGGGGCAGGGTGGGGCAGGGGCTGGCAGGGGCGAAGACTCTGGCTCCCTGCACTCCCTGGGGCTGCACAGCAAGGGCCTGCTGCCCACCTTCAGACTGTGCAGCCATGGTCTGGGTGCTCTGACCCCACGGGAGCCCATGGGGAGCCCCAGGTTGGCAGCTCCACTCCTGCTTCTCCTCCTGCTGTTCATTGGGCTCTCTGCCTCCGCCAGGATTGGCTGCCCCTACCTGCCCCGCTGGAGCACCCACTGTCTGCTGGCCTCTCACATGGTAAGGTAAAGCTTCGGCTGCCCAGTAGGGACCTCTCCCTGCCACAGGCTGGTAAAGCTCCCCACTTTTCTGCCTGTCCTCTCATGTCTCCCAAGTCCCTGGGCCCTGCTTGCAGCCCCAGTGTGTCCTCTGTATGGTCTTGCAGGGGGAGCCAAGGTTCTGGAGTGCTAAGGGCCTGGGCAGGGTTGAGCTGGGAAGACAAGAGCCAGAGTGGATGGGCTATTGGGATATGGGCCTTGGAATTAGGTGATTTGAGGCAAAGACCCCAGAGAGAATGCCCCCCTGGCCCACCATAGGAACTACCAATAATTCTTCTCTTCTTTCTTGCCCCTGCTGGGCACTGTGTCTTCAGGAAGACACTCTCACTGGTGAGTCTCATTCCCTGCCCTGCTTCTCTTCTGTGTCCCTTTTGTTCCAGATCCCTAGGGAGCTTTCCATTCAAATTTTTGTTTCCCAACTTGGGAAGTTAGCATATCAAGGAGAAAACACAGGGTTTAGAATCAGGGCAAGCCTGGATTTGCATTGCAATTCCACCACATACTCCACAAGTGGCCGCAGGCAGTGCCCCTAGCCCCTCTGACTCCCTGTTTCTGAGGGGCAGTTTCTGAGGGGTTGAGCAGGGTGGTAGAAATGATTGTAGGATGAAAGCCGCTGCCCCTGAGCTGTGGGAGAATTAAAGGAGAGACACAGGATAACCTCCAGGCACTCCCCTTAACTATTCCTTCACTCCTGTCAGTGCCACAGCAACGATCTTTCATATCTAATAGTATCTGCTTTATGGATCATTTTCCTACACGTTATCTCACCTGATCTTGACAACAGTCCTACTTTATGAACGAGGAAGCTGAGGCTTAGAGAAGTCCATAAATTGCCCAAAGCTGCACATCTCAGCCTCCAGTCCACCCTGTCTGAGGAAGGAGGGGCTTCCTGGGACCCTACCATTTGATTTACATTTTATCTTTACCAGGAAGGTCTGCCGGTATTCCTTGCCATACCCAGCTGGCCCTTGCTGTGTCCACAAGGCCTCTGTGTGCTCAGCTCTGGCTCTGCCACTATTTGTGCTTGCATCTGGTGTCAGATCCTCCAGGTGTGAGAAACAGCCCTTTGGGCTGTTCTCAGTGGAAATGTGAATTAGGGTGTTTGGGGGTGCCCAGGCCGAGGAAAGTGGGACTTATCATGTCTCTCCTATTGTCGACCTCAACAGAGACAGATCATTCTAAAATAGCATACCACAACTGATGTTTATGGGTCAGTTGTATCATTTTGTGAAGGTGTTTCTCCTTTCCACTGGTACCAATGCTTGAGATTAAATTGTTTTAATTCTGCGAGTTTACTAGTATTACCTTCTATTTGCAAAGTAAGATCTTTCTTTTTCTCTGCATTTTCATTGCCTAGTTCAGTGCCTGGCACTTACTAAATGCCCAAACACCGCTTAAGAGTTCACAGTTTCTAATTTTTCACTGTTTTAAATAATGCTACAATGGATATTTTTGCACATATATATATATATATATACATATATATACACACACACACACACATATACGTGTGTGTGTGTGTGTGTGTGTGTGTGACTTTTTATCTACTTAAGAAATTAATCCTTTTTGACTATATCATAACTTTCAGGACTAAAGAAGCTTGATACAATTACCCTCCATGATTTGAAATGAATTACTATCTAAAATCAGGCCACATTTCCAAGCAGCAGAGGGGCAGTGAAGGGCTGGATAATAAATATGTCCTTTCCTGCACAGGCCTCCATGGGGGCTGTTTCTACCTCCTGGTGCAGAAATACAAAAAGTCATGTAAGTTCCGGTTCTGTAGGAGACACAAGATGCCAGCATCTGCTCAGGTACTCCCCCTGCCAGTTCCAGTTCTGCCCTACGCCCCACAGCGCTTTTGCTCCTATCCTCTCCTTTGTACTCTAGTCACGTGGTGATGGAAAGATAGAAAGCGTGATGATGAAGTGGACTGTTCTGTCCATTACACACTTAGGGAAACCAAGGCCTAAAGAATGAATGACTTGCCTGTGGGGCCCCAGGTTCCAGAAGCAGCAACAAAAGCCTGATTCCTGGCCCAAGGCCAACCATGTTCTCTGCCTACAGAGGAAGCTGCTGAGTGGCTGTTGCCTGTCTGGGAAGGGTCATCACATCGCTGTCCCCTCCCCAGACATCTCTCACAAGGGGTTGCGCACTAAAAGGACCCAACCTTCAGACCTGAAGGCATTGGAAGGTCTCCCCAGACCCAGCTCACAAAGGCATGAAGGTAAGCGTAGGGTGTGACCAGAGATGGGTGCAGCCAAGTATTGGTGCTTGTGCCCAAGCCAAGAGACAAGGAGTCCCCCTTCTCCCCAGGGCCTGAGTTCTCCTTTGATTTGCTGCCCGAGGCACGGGCTATTCAAGTGACCATTCCTCCGGGACCTGAGGTCAGTGTGCGTCTTTGTCACCAGTGGGTACTAGAATGTGAGGAGCTGAGCAGTCCCTTCGACACGCAGGTATGGAATATTGTCTCCCTTCAAAAAGCCAGATCACATAGTTCTGGAGCAAAAAAGATCTCCCCATTGTATACATGGGGAGACTGAGGCCCAGAGAGGGATAGTCATTGTCTAGGACCTCCCTATAAGTCTGAAGTACCTAGCATTTAAGCCTTCTTTGGATTAGACAGAAAGTGCAGGGGTCCCTGTCAGCTGGGAGGAGAGGAAGGCAAAGGGCAAATAGAGACTTGGAGCAACCATGAATGCCCAGCAGAGAAATGAATACAGCATGTATCCCCAGCGAGAAGACCCTCAGCGAGATTCAGGTTGCATTAAGAAGGCTTTTCAGTTCCCTCCAAGAAGTGGTTACATCTTTCTTGGTACTCTTCCATCTCCCTCCTTTTGCTGCTGCCCCTCAGAGAATGAGATGTTCCCCATTTCCCCAGCCCGGGCCTCATATCCCCCTTCAAACTCCAGTTGCTGTAGATGCCCTGGTATATGGTTGGTACCATTTGTGGGACTGAAGCTGTACCTCTGAGGCCCTCAGCTCTCTTCATTTCTCAAATGAGGATCACTGTGACGCTAGTGTTCAGTTCATTGAGTTAATGCTTCTAGCACCTAGCACCCTCCCTGGCATACAGCAGAGGCTCAAAAAATGTTTAATCCTCTCCTTATTTCCTCTCTGTCCCCACCTCATATACTGAGACACCTAGAGCAAATAGACTATAGAGCAGGGACAACCCACCACCCCAAAAGGAAATTTCTCAGTGGAAGAAGTAAGTCTCAGATAGGAAAAACAGGGTGTGTTGGCCAAGGTTTCAGCTTCCTACTGCCCTTGTCCAGGGTGCCTAAGCTCTTTCTCAGGCATTTCTTCTCTCCTTTTGCTGCTTTGTCAACAGAAAATTGTGTCTGGAGGCCACACTGTAGACCTGCCTTATGAATTCTTTCTGCCCTGTCTGTGCATAGAGGTGAGCAGAGGAAAAGGTCTGGGTTGTCCCTGGCTCTACTTCTAGGCCTCCCAGAAGCACAGTTGGTCAAGCGTATCTTTAGTGAGTCAGGTCTTAAAAAGACTGAGTGTTGACGAGAGGCTTGGGAAGATGGCTGCCAGCTTGACTGTAAGCCACGCGCTGGGTCAGAGACAGAAGTGTCCTGCTGAACAGGAGGTATTTTAGGGGGGGCGGGTGATTCCAACCTCAGTCCAACTAAACCCAGCTTTCCTAGGTTCAGACTGGCCTTAGCACACAGAGATGGAATACACAGTTACCTTTACTGTGTGTTCTGAGGAGTCATGACGAGGGCACGTGGGGCCCCTGGCAGGTTCCATATGGCTTCAAAAGTCTTGTCACCATGAGCCTGCCCTGGCAGTTCTCTGCTCCTTACAAAGCTGAGGTGCCTAACATTAAGACTTCTTTGGACTAGACAGAAAATGCAGGAGACCTTGTCGACCAGGAGGAGGCAAAAGGGGAGGTACAGAAGGACACGTGGGGCAGGGAGCAGCTGCCGAGGTGGACAATCCCTGTTTGGGTGGTCCAGAGGGAGGGGTCCGTACAGGGCATTCTTTGGGAAGCCAGGAAAGCTAAAAGTGGAGGAATGTGAACTTCCCCTTTTTCTGGGGGGAGCATAGGTTCTCCTCTCCAGGGAGAAGAGGACTCAGCCTCCCAGGTTGTGATCTTGCTCCTAGACTCTGGTCATGCCCCACCGACACTTGCCCATACCCTTCACTGCTTCCCCTCCTCCATGCCCCGCTGGCTCGTGCAGCTGGCATCAGGGCAAGGTCAAGCCAGGAGTTCCATGTCTGAGTGATAGAGGAGAAGCCATTCCTATGACCCTCCCTGACTGTTTCATTGTCCCCCCAGGTATCCTACCTGCAAGAGGACACGGTGAGGCGCAAAAAATGTCCCTTCCAGAACTGGCCTGAAGCCTGTGAGTGCTGCATATGTGCATTCATAGCCCTCAGTGTCTTACACACACACACACACACACACACACACACACACACACACACACACACCACACACGCACACACACACACACACACACACAATTCATACCTCTGTTGTGGAGGAAGCCCCCAGAAGGCACTTTCCCTGGAGTTGGTAGTGGGAAAGGGTTAGTGTATCTACCATTCACCTCCCAACAAATCAGATTGAACATTGTGCTAGGTACTGTGAGAGGTTCAGAAGCGGGAGATCCAGGAGGTAGTGTCCTAAGAGGATGGGCCTGAAGTCCTGAGGTCACATCTCACTTATTCTTTTCTGAACCTTAATTTCTCCATCAGCAAAGTAGTGACACTTGCCCAGCCTTCCCTTCCAACTGTGGATGAGACTTACATTCAATATTATATGTGAAAGTGGCTGGTGATGTCTGAAATGCTGTATGCATGTTGTCATCCCCAAATTAAAGAGACAGGAGCCTGAAACACAGCAAATGAATAGTGCAAAGCAGCCCAAAGCCCAGGGCACCTTTAGAACTGTGGACTAGGCTATAGGCCATGAACTCAGGAAAGGGAGAAGCCCATGAAGTCTGTCAGATCATAGGGTCTCTTACAGGAGGGGACACCTGAGCTGGGCTGAGAAAAGGGACAGTATTTCAAAAGGAGAGTAGCGAGGGGGAACATCCCTGGTTCTGAGAGGAACCTAAGCAAAGATCTGCAGATTTTTAGTTTGGGGAGCAGCAGAGAACTGGTCAGAATGGAGGCACAGGCAGGAGATGAGACAACGAAGTAGAAATGGTCATAAAAGGTCTGGAGAAGGCATGCTTATTTATTGGATAACCTAGACATGCCAGCAAACGTGCTGGGCCTCTTCATAAAGTCATCCCCTGGTGCCCCCAGGGATGGGGATACAAAGCGAGGCTGAAGCCAAAGCAGGGCCCAGGCCTCGGTGGGCCTCACGCTCTGCCCCTGCCTGCCGCATGCCCAGATGGTTCGGACTTCTGGAAGTCAGTGCACTTTACCGACTACAGCCAGCACAGTCAGATGGTCATGGCCCTGACCCTCCGCTGCCCACTGAAGCTGGAGGCCTCCCTCTGCCAGAAGTGGGGCTGGAATACCCTCTGTGAAGACCTCCCCAATGCCACGGCTCGAGAGTCAGAGGGGGTGAGCCGGCCACCTCCCGCCCCAGGACTTGAGTGGGCAGGGCTGGGGCCCAGGGCCCTGCTCCCTGACTAACTCTCTTCTCCTACCACAGTGGTATGTCTTGGAGGGAATAGACCTACATCCCCAGCTTTGCTTCAAGGTACAAGCATGGGGGACAGTGGATGGGGAGGGGTATGGATGGTGGGAGCTTGCTGACTTGCCATTCTTGGATTTTTCAGTTCTCATTTGGAAATAGCAGCCATGTTGAATGCCCCCACCGGACGGGTGAGCTGATAAGTGACCCTGGCTGGGATGCCCTTCCACCACTGAACCCTTACCCAACTGGGACCAAACCAGGCTCAAGCCCTGTTCTGACTTCTCTGGCAACCACAACCCAACTCCTATCGCCTCCTGCAAACAGAATGTCTCCCATGATACCCTTTCCCACCCTGGCAGCCCCATCCTGGAATGTGAGCATGGATACCCAGGCCCAGCAGCTGGTCCTTCACTTCTCCTCAAGGATACACGCCACCTTCAGTGCTGCCTGGAGCCACCCAAGCTTGGGGCAGGACAGCTTGGTGCCCCCTGTGTACAGCATCAGCCAGGTATGGCCCAGCCAGGGCTCCAACCCTCTCCCCGCACCCCCACCGTCTTGTTGCTCAGAGCACAGCAAGTGGAGGCAGACAAATCTCTAACTTATATCATCTGGCTATTTATTTACTTGACCAGTCTTTGTTCAGCTGGTTCTTCAGTCAGTGGAGGGTTCATGGAGCAGTTTCTAATCCTTTTAGTTTCTGAACTTACCCCAGATAAAGTGGCAAGAGACCAGCGCTCCCACATCCAGCTGTCCTCTGACCACTCAGTCTGCTGCCACATTTTATACCAAGGTCCTCTCTTGGACCCAGCTGTCCTCTACCCCTGTTTGTCTCCACAAGACACTTGGCAGACATTCCCTATCTTAGGAGGCAGAGCCCCTAGAATCTGAAGAGCTCTTCACAGAATACTGTGAACTACTGACAGATTTAACTTTATTATGTGAACTAGGAACAGTCTGACCAGCAGACTCTCTTCTGTGTATCTGATATAAAAACCACAATCATATATGTCCATCAAACCATAGCACCAATCTGACTAAGCATGACTAGCTCCTTCCAATTCTTAAACACTCATTTGTAGCTTGCTTATTTGTCTTGCATTCTATGAGGGCTCGCAAGCATATAGGTGGTCGCAAATGTTTAAAATTTGGGGCGCCTGGGTGGCTCAGTCGTTGGGTATCTGCCTTCGGCTCAGGTCATATTCCCAGGGTCCTGGGATCGAGCCCCACATCAGGCTCCCTTCTCAGCGGGAAGCCTGCTTCTCCCTCTCCCACCCCCCTGCTTGTGTTCCCTCTCTCTCTGTCAAATAATTAATAAAATCTTAAAAGAAAAAAAAAAAAGATAGCTGGGAGCTTCCTGGAGGAACATTACACTTTAAAAGAAAATGTTTAAAATTTAATACTGAGCCATGCTTAAGATTTAAGACCAAGTCCCATGGAATAACCTAAAATTGATAGCTAAATCCATGGACTCATTTGTTTCTGTGAGCTGGGGGAAGACCACCTTCATTGAGTTCAGCCATGATTTGAGCATCACTGTGTCAGTGGCTGCTGACAGCTGGCTGAAGAATGGGGTCTGGGACAGGGGTGGTATGGGCGTTGGAGATAGAGGGAGTTCCGGAAGGATGGAGATGCTGGTCAACTCCCTAACCAACACCCAGAACATAGGGGGAAGCCGTATTCTGCCTGTATACAGATGGCAATCTGTTCTGTCCAATTTAGCATGCATTTATTGAATCCCTACCCTGTACCTACCCTGTACTGGGCCCTGGGAGATACAAGAAAAGTATATAACACAGTGTCTGCCCCTAAGGAGCCCACATTGTAATAATAACTACTGCTACTGAAGGAATTCACCCGGCACCATGTATTGTAGGGGGTATTAACATGCATATTCCCATGGGATGCTCTCAATAACCCAGTAAAATAAAGATTATTAGTCCTCGTGTACAAATGAAGAAACTGAAGGTCAGGGAGGGAGGTAACCTATCTCCATGCAAAGATCACACAGCTAGTAACCACAAAGGCAATAGTTAAGCCTGGTTTTAGCTGTGTCACTTCACAACTTAGGTTCTTTCCAGTGGACAAGCCATCCCTTCAGATGTGTGGGAGAGAAGGGAGGCAGGTTAAATAGTTAGGTTCCTTGGTTTATGAGCTGCTGGAGGACAGAGACAACATCTGTGTCTTCTTTCCTCAGACCTTGACACAAAGTAGACACCCAGAGCACGTTTGTTGATGAGCGCCTGATCGCCTGATTAATGTGTATCTGTGCAACAGTTCTGCTCTGGGAATAATCAGTGGGATGCTTGAGAATGAAGCAGGAGGAAGACTTCTTTTTTTTTTTTTTTTTAAGATTTTTAAAATTTATTTGTCAGAGAGAGAAGGAGAGCACAAGCAGGGGGAGCAGCAGGCAGAGAGAGAAACAGACTTCCCTCTGAGCAAGGAGCCTGATGCGGGACTCGATACCAGGACTTTGGGATCATGACCTGAGCCAAAGGCAGACACTTAACCAAATGAGCCACCCAGGCATCCCAGGAGACTTCTTTCTTGTCAGCAGTGGCACTTGGCCTTAATCCTGGGTAGGATTTCTGTGGGGGTGGGAGGGTAGAAAGGAAGAAGAGTGTGGGCAAAGACTCAAGACTGGACAGAGCCAGATTTGACACTATGGAGACATTCTGCTCTTTGTTCCCACAGACTCAGGGCTCAAGCCCAGTGACACTAGAGCTCATCATTCCCTTCCTGAAGCCAGGGAGCTGTGTCCTGGTAAGGAGTCCTGCCCTCACTCTGTACATACTCCCCTAGCATCTACTCTACAGGGAGCTCATGGGGCAAATGCAGTCTGCAAAAATGTTTGGTTTGGCCAGCCTGGTATTTGAAATTGGAATGAGTTGCTACCATTTAAATACTGGAGAAGTCATATTTTAAAAAGCTGATTTCTGCCTTGTCCTGGGAAGAATCATTCAGGCATGGTGACAATGGGCTTGAGCTCCATGGCATCTGATTATTTCATTCAGGGCCTCTGCCCTCCTGGTCCTCCTGGATGCCCTGGCCAGCTTCAAGTTTATTATTTGGGTTGCCACTCTTGACCTGTTGCGTGCCCAACCACAGTTGGACCAAACACAAACCCTGTGCTGCAGAAATCCCCTATACCCTTCTCTTACCCTACTCAGCTTCCCCTGGGAGAAGGGGCTACCCTGGCTTACAGGGGTGGGGGCTCTCTGCCCTCAGGTGTGGAGGTCAGATGTTCAGTTTTCCTGGAAGCACCTCTTGTGTCCAGATGGTGAGTTCTTGGGAGCGAAGGGGTGGGGTTAGAAGAAGGCTGGACACTGAGGAGCCTGGCTTGGCCTCAACCTGCTTGACTCAGTCTCTCATAGACACCTGGGGCTCTTGATACTGGCACTGCTGGCCCTCACCACCCTATTGGGCATTGTTCTGGTCTTCACCCGCCGGCGTCCACTGTCAGGTAAGCTCACTCTGGGGTAACCTGAGGATTCAGATTTGCACAGAGCCTAAGCTAGTTGTCCCCCACCCTTCCCCTGCCTAGGCTCCCTTCCAGAAGATCCATGGCCCTCTTGGTGCCCGGAGTTCTCTGCTACCCAAAGTGGTGAGCCTCAGGCCCCCTAGTGGTCAGGAATGGTTAAGGCAGAGCAAAGGTCCCTCTGTGCAGATGGTTCACTGTTAGTGGTCTCTGGGAAGAGACCGGTGAGGTGGAAATCCAGCCTGCGCTGCACCTGCCAAACATGGCGCCCAAGACCTGACCCCTTCCGGGTGCTTTTATCTAATTAGCCCAATGACACCCTATAGGCTAAAGTTGCCTTAGGTACTTACCCCCAGTGCAGATAAGGAACCAGGTGGGGCACTCGATGAGTTAGCCCCAAGGCAGGGAAAAGGAGAGTCAGGGTGGAGTAGGGGAGGGGAAGTTGCTGGGCTCTCCCTTAGCGGCCCACCCTTTCACCTGCTACTCCCGCCCGCAGGCCCTGGCCGAGCACGGCCGGTGTTGCTCCTGCACGTGGCCGACTCGGAGGCACAGCGACGCCTGGTGGGAGCGCTGGCTGAACTGCTGCGGGCATCGCTGGGCGGCGGGCGCGACGTGATCGTGGACCTGTGGGAGGGGACGCGCGTGGCGCGCGTGGGCCCGCTGCCATGGCTGTGGGCTGCACGGGCGCGCGTTGCGCAGGAGCGGGGCACCGTGCTGCTTCTGTGGAGCAGTGCGGGCCCCAGTCCAGCCCAAGGCCGGGATCCCCACTCCGCACCCCTGCGCGCCCTGCTCCGCGCCGCCCCGCGCCCGCTGCTGCTGCTTGCTTACTTCAGTCGCCTCTGTGCCAAGGGTGACATTCCCCCGCCCCTGCGCGACCTGCCACGCTACCGCCTCCTGCGCGACCTGCCACGCCTGCTGCGGGCTCTAGACGCTCAGCCTTCCACCGAAGCCGCCAACGGAGGCTCCCTCGGGAATCGGCGGTGCCTGCGGGGTCGCCTGGAGCTGTGCCATCGGCTGGAACTCGAGGCCGCCAAATTTTGCCCACCGAGGCTGAGCAGAGACAGGCGTAGGGGTACTGGCTGGAACCCCTGAATGAGCCTCCCACCCTAAAATCCTTGGGGTGCTTCCTCAGGACTACTGGCCAAAAATTCTTACTGCTCTGTTTGCTGGCCTGGGAGTAGAGCACCTCCCTCTCTGTCCCAGCCCCTTCCTTAAGCGTCTGGCTTCTTCCTCGTATTTACCCTTTAGGAACCAGCAGGGAGAGTCGCTGTTTAATGAGGGCTCTAGTGACTCCAGTTCTGTTGCGGGTGGGGAACTCCTCACACTTCTTTTCTTCAAAATTGCAGAAAGAGCAGTCTGCACATGCTCCAGTCCAGGCTGGAGAGGTGTGGGACAGAAGTAGAGGAGGCAGGAACCATGCCAATTCTGAGCGAGGGGTAACTCTATTGCGGGGATGGGGGGAGTGGAGAAAAACCCTTTCTGAGGCAGGGATACTGCTTTCCCAGAAGGGAGCCCTGCCCAGAGGATGGAGGGAGGGAGGGAGGGAGGGTGCCTGACCCAGGGAAAGAAGTTTTGGCCTTGGGTGTCCAGGGCAAAGGTGGGACAGTAGAAACCAAGATCAAAAGAAAATTAATAAAGGCAAACATAATGGATAAGCTAAGAGACATAGTGTGCTTCTCTAGGGTGCCCAGGATACTGAGTTGGAGGAGGGGTCAGCACAGCCCTGCCTGGGGGTTATTATGCATCATTTGTGGGCTCAGATCTTCCATGTCCACACCCACAACCATATCCTTCACATTCTCACAAGCAAAGCCTCTGAACAGCCAAAAGAGGTCCTGGAAATCTTGTTTTGTTTGTTTTAATTTTATTTATTTTATTTATTTGACCTAGAGAGAGAGACACACACACAGTGAGAGAGGGAACGCAAGCAGGGGAAGTGGGAGAGGAAGAAGCAGGCTTCCTGCTGAGCAGGGAGCCCGATGTGGGGCCCGATTCCAGGACCCTGGGATCACAACCTGAGCTGAAGCCAGATGCTTAATGATTGAGCCACCCAGGTGCCCCAGGACCTGGAAATCTTAATCCTTACTGTGAACAGGTTCAGAAAGGTCCATCTATCATGCAACATGGCAACAGCACAAATGGGGCCCCTGTCTTCCTGGCTCTGAGTCCTGAGTTCCTTCCCACCCTTGAGCAGAGGCCAGGAAGGGGTGAAAAGCCCACTTTCTGATGCCCTTTGTCCCTCCCTTTAGAGCTCCTGCCCCACAAAGGGTCACTGAGTCCCAAGGCAGATGTGTGAAGGGACCGGGGGTGCCCTGTATGAGGGGACCTAATAGGCAGCAAAATCCCAGATTCACGTGGGAAGTGGAGATGCCCGAGCATTGCCCAGGCCCTCTTCCTTAGGGACTCCCAGGGTGAGTAAGAGCTCCCTTACTCAGCGGTGATGCCACCACCCTCTTCAGGGGCCCCTCCCAGCCAGGTGTCAGCAGAGAAGGAGGAGGACGAGAGAGGGAGAAGAGAGGAGGCCACCACCACCAGCCAAGGCTGCTGGCTCCCAGGCCGGTTGTTGGTGGGAGGGACAGGGCGGGGCGGGAACAGTCAGCTGCCTGCCGGGAGCCAAACCGAAAGGAAAGCACTCCCGGCTGGACTGGGACAGGATTCAGGGCTCCCAGAAGAGGGAGTGCTCAAGACAGCACTGGGACCCCAGGCTGAAGAGGGATTCTGGCCCCTAGTGCCCACAGGCTTGGGGCTGATTAGGAACGGAGGTACAGTGTCTGCCCCCCCCCTTGGGGGGGGCAGGACAGGGCCTTGGGCCTTGGTGCCTCCTGGTACATGGAAGATGCCTGTGCCTTGGTTCCTGTTGTCCTTGGCACTGGGCCGAAGCCCCATGGTCCTCTCTTTAGAGAAGCTTATGGGGCCTCAGGACACTGCCCGCTGCTCTCCGGTAAGTCTGGGGTAATGGGAGGGTTGGGGTAAAGCTCAGGGTTCGGTCTGCCGCCTATCGGAGGCCCTAGCCTGGCTCCTGCCACTGTCACCAGAACTGCCCTGGCTGGTCTGTCTGGTGCTAATGGGATAAGAGAAGAATGGGGAGGGGGCAAGAGCTGGGTTTGTCTTCTCCTGGGAGGGGCTTGAATGGGGAGCCCCAGAAGGTTGGCCAGGGTTATCAGGCAGGGGAAAAATGGCTAGGTTCGGTGCCATAAACTCTGATTTGTCTTTCTCTCCTTCCTAGGGCCTTTCCTGCCACCTCTGGGGTGAGTAGCCCTACTTTTAGAAAGAAAAGAACTGCTCAGGGTGGCAGAAGGGAGGGGAGATGTTCCAATTCCCTGCCCTGACCACCCACCCCTAGCCCAGGAAGAACCCAAAGCTTCTTGGCCCTCTGGGGGTGTCAGGTGCAACTAAACTCTGGATTATGAACAGCTTTAGCTCCCCCTGACCCTTGATGCACAGATGGTGACGTGCTCTGCCTGCCCGGGAGCATCGTGTCTGCCCCGGGCCCTGTGCTGGTGCCCACACGCCTGCAGACAGAGCTGGTGCTGAGGTGCCACCAGGAGACTGACTGTGACCTCTGTGTGCGTGTGGCCATCCACCTGGCTGTGCATGGTGAGCATTTCATCCCCTAGCTGTATGTGCACACGTCAGCATGTCTGGGATGGGCACAAGGCTTGGGGAGTCCGCCAAGCAGTCCTGTGCATCCTCAGTGTTGACCTGGAGAACACCGGCCAAAGGACCCCCAGGTCAGCCTGGTCTCCCTGTCTCCCTCACCCCACCCCCAGCCCCAGGCCTGGCCCCTGCTTCTCAGCACTGGGCCTTCAGGAGGGAAGCCAAGCCCAAAGCCAGCCCAGAGCCTGGGCCTGACCCGGGCCTTGTTCTTGGGTGGTTCCAGGGCACTGGGAAGAACCTAAAGATGAGGACAGGTCTGGAAGAGCCGCTGATCTGGAGCTCGAGGAGCCTAGGAACGGTGAGGGGAATCTGGCTAGCCCAACCGCCCTAGCCAGGGCCTGGCCGGAGGCCCTGGAGCCTGACCAGTGCCCCACCCCATTGCTCACAGCCTTTCTCCAGGCCCAGGTGGTGCTCTCCTTCCAGGCCTACCCTACTGCCCGCTGCGTCCTGCTGGAGGTGCAAGTGCCTGCTGCCCTCGTGCAGCCTGGTCAGTCTGTGGTATGCAAAATCCTAATCCTAGCAATAGCCATCTTCTCAATATGGTGTCTCTGAAGTGCTCTTGTGTGTGTGTTATCTCTGTGCGCTGACTCTGGCAGGGCTGTGCACAAGACCTTCTAGCCCTTTATGCCTCTGATTTCCTGTCTGTAAAATGGGAATAAGAATAGTCCTACCTCATGTGGCTGTTGTGAGAAAAAGATGAGTTGGTATGTGTAAAACACCTCGTGTAATGCCCAGCACTGAAGGATCTCAGGAGAGTTAATTCTCCCTTTCTTCTGTAATTCTCAGAAGTACACATGAATTAGGTATTATTATTACCCTCACTTTTCAGAGAGAGAAACTGAGATTGGAGAGGGGAAGTCTGTGCTCTGGATCTACTTCTCTGGACTTACTATACCATGTCTGCCCTGTGTGTAGACCATGGTGCAGGGTGTTGGGCTTCTCCCCACTTCAGGAGGCCATGTGTGTTTGGAAGATGTAGCTCCACTTGGGCCAAATCACTCAAACCCTTTGACTTCCCCTCCTGCCGGCAGCTCCCAGCCAATATCCTCTTGCCCGGAAAATTGTAGAATGGGAGAGAATCTGCTGGCCTACCTCGATGTGAGGACCATTGAGGCATTGGGTGTGGGAAGGGGTGTCTCACATTTGCGTTGGCATATCTGATCACCTTAGCTTTGGCCATGGGATGGGGGACAGCAGGGGTGGGAGCAGGGACTCAAATAGCCCTTATCCCTGCCCTGCTGACACCCTTACTGAGGGTGTGTGCTTTAGAACTGGGGGCCTTTAAAGGAAACGCTAATGGGAGAATTTCGGGCCCTACAGTATAGAGTCATTGACTGGGGGAGGAGGCAAGTGGAGTGGTTCCCAGAGGAGCTCAGAGCCCTTGGCCTGTATTCTGAGCCCTATACCACCAGCCTTCCACCACCCCTCTCCTCACAGGGCTCTGTAGTATTTGACTGCTTCGAGGCTGCTCTGGGGGCTGAGGTGCGACTCTGGTCCTACACTCAGCCCAGGTACCAGAAGGAACTCAACCTCACACAGCAGTTGCCTGGTAAGTGGCTCCAGAGCCTCAGGGACTCCAAGTCCTGTCCCCATGGTCTCTTTCCCCTCTGGCTACTACCATTCTGCTTTCACTCCCTTCCTAGTCCCATCCACTCACAGGCAGGGGTCTGAGCTCCCATCTTCCCCAGAGTCTGTCCCTCTTTTCTCCTCTCCCCAGGTGATATTGCTTCCCAGTGCCTGAGAAGGGTGCTTTGGGCACTGGATAGATGGGATGGTATTTAAGGGACAAGGAGCCCTTCCCAGTGCTCCCCATGGGTTGGATTGCCCCCCTTTTTTCTTTGGCCCCCAGCCCCACTGGAGGCTTTTCTGTGATCTCTCCCCAGACTGCAAGGGGCTTGAAGTCCAGGACAGCATCCAGAGCTGCTGGGGTACGGGCTATGGCCAGCAGGGCTGGAAGGAGGGAGGGGCAGGGTCTGGAGTATGAGGGACGCTTGGAGGTGGCTTCAGGTCTAGGTTTGCCACAATCCAGATGCTCGTAGCTCATTCATTCATCACACATGAACTGCAGTAGCTCCTACTCTGTGCCAGGCATTGGGAATATGAAGGTGAATCTCTCACTCTTTGTAACAAATTTATTTATTAGTACCAGGGACATCTAGAGGCCCAAAGCATTGTCAAGATATTGGTACACCCCACTACCACCATATACCAAAATACAAATAATATTAATCCATAAAATAAGGGTTAGGAAGGTCAAGGTTCTGATGATTTTTCCCAGGCAATGTTTGAATTTTATTTTCACTTTGTTTATTTTTTCATATTGTATTTTTTTTTACTGTGGTTTAACACACATATAGAAAAGCCTGTAAAGTGCACTAATTTTAAGGTCCAGTTCAGTTAATTTTTACATATGTATACACTTGCATAACTATCACCCAGATCAAGATATAATCAGTGATATTTTTGAACCCTTAAATTTTTTCTTTTTTTAAAAGATTTCATTTATTTGTCAGAGAGAGAAAGAACTCAAGCAGGGGGAGCAGCAGGCAGAGGGAGAAGTAGGAAGAGCGGGAGCCTGACCTGGGACTCGATTCCAGGACCCTAGGATCATGACCTCAGCCCAAGGCAGAGCCCCAACCAACTGAGCCACCCAAGTGCCCTGAACTCTTAAATTTTTTCAATTTTATTTCCTTTTCAGTTCCTTAAGTTTGGGCCTGCCTCTTTGGTAATTCATTAGAGACTACTCAGCACTGGAGCTTTGAGGACACAGATACACATCATGCATTTCATGTCTTCATTCATTCAGTAGACACTGTTCCACTTTTTCAACAGATATTTATTGAGTAACTACTCTGCCCAAGAAATAGTCCTAGGCACTTGAGATTAGTCAACAAACAACTGACAGAAACCCTTGCCTTACAGAGCTGATATTCTAGATGGGAGTCAGGGTCAGCATAGGGGTGATGGAGGACACAATAAACACATGGAGATGTGAACTATGCAATAAGATGTGATTAGTGCTATGAAAAAAATTGGGGGAAGGGGAAGGAGGAGAAGGGATTTGGGAGTTTGCAGAAGTCAGGAATGGCTTCACTCTGATGAGCAAACACCTGAAGGAGGTATGGGAGGAGCCCTATGGGTATCTGAGGGAAAAGTGTTCCATATGCAGAGGGAACAGCCAGTGCAAAGGGCCTGAGGCAGGAGTGTGTCTGGTGTGTTTAAGTATTAGCAAAGAGGGCAGTGTGTCCGCAACAGTTAAGGGCAAGAGTGCTAGGAAATGAGGATAGAGTGGATAAGGTCTTGCAAGCCATTGTAAGGACTCTGCCTTTTACTCTGAGAGTAACCAGGGAGGGGTCATCAGAAGGTTCTGAGCAGAGGAAGATGGTTTATCTTACAGTGGTTATAGGATCCTCCTGGCTGCAGAGGGAGAAGAGTTGGGTCAGTATACTGGGCTGGCTGCTAGGGACAAAGTCTGGTCAGAGATGAGGACATAGGCTCTGCCGTCCAGGGGCCTTCCAGTCTCAGGGATATGAAGGAAACTAAAGGATCAGTTGGAGGGGTATGGCCAGGGGTGGGTATGCAGAAGAGATGAAGGAAGTCTCTCTCTCTTCACCTTGCCCGCAGCCCTGCCCTGGCTCAGTGTGTCTGCCGATGGAGATGATGTGCACCTCGTGCTGGACGTCTCTGAGGAGCAGCACTTTGGCCTCTCCCTGTACTGGAACCAGGTCCAGGGCCCTACAAAACCATGGTGGCACAGCAACCTGGTGAGGCCTCCCCTTCCCCAAGTCCATTCCCACTCTAGGCTGATGCCCAGGCTAAGGATGCGAGCGCATTATCAAAGGAGACCCTTGAGGAGGATATAGCGACCCATGCCCCAAGCAAGGAACATTGGTGGGGTAACTGCTGCCTGCCTGGTTTCCTCAGCTTTGGCTTCCAGTCTTCCTCCTCCTCATCTTCTCCAACTTCTCATCTTCTGCTTGTCCACAGACTGGGCCACGGAACATTACCTTGAACCACACAGACCTGTTTCCCTGCCTTTGTATTCAGGTAAGAGAAGAGTCTGGCTAGCTGCCAGGGCAAGAGGATTGAGGAATTGAGAAGGGGGGTGGCCCTTACCTTTCTTGTCTTGCCATCCTCTGTATTCCTCTTTGGGGTGGGAACTATTGCTCCCTAAAGTGACTAGCCCTTTCCTGACGTTTGCTGTCCTGTCTTCTGCCTGTTGCAGGCTCTGAATGCTCTTCCTGATCCTCTGTCCACAGGACTCCTACTCATTCTTCATGGCCCCATTCAAATGTCACCTCCTTCTTGAAGCCTTTCCCCACTCCTCCAATTGCCTCTTTGTACTCCTCTGGAAAGTAGAATATATGCTGTGAACTCAGACAGTTTGAATACTGACTCTTGCCATTTGCTAGCTATGTGACCTTGTACAAGTCACTTCACCTCTCTGAGCCTGTTTCTTATCTGTAAAATGGGAATAACAATACCAGCCTCATAGAACTGTTACAGAAGGAAGTATCCAAGCTTCTATATGTTGGCTCTTTCCTCTTCTTTTTTTTTTTTAAGATTTTATTTATTTATTTGATGGGCAGAGATCACAAGTAGGCAGAGAGGCAGGCAGAGAGAAAGGAGGAAGCAGGCTTCCCGCTGAGCAGAGAGCCAGATGTGGGGTTTGATCCCAGGACCCTGAGATCATGACCTGAGCCAAAGGCAGAGGCTTTAACCCACTGAGCCACCCAGGCATCCCTTCTTTTTTTTTTTTTTAAGATTTTATTTTTAAGTAATTTTAAGTATTTTAAGTAATCTCTACAACCAATGTGGGGCTCAAAGTTAACAACCCTGAGGTCAAGAGTCACATGTTCTACCAACTGAGCCAGCCAGACACCCTTCTTTCCTCTTCTGATTGCACATTTAAATGGTGATCAGGTCCCATCTATTTTATCTCTGACATCAATGCCTGTTATTTCCACTGCCTGAAATGCCCTCATTTCTTTTCTATACAGCCATATCTTTCCAGCTCAGGTATTACCTCTTTCCCAAAGCTTTTCCTCAACTGTCTGGCCTCTCCTGCCTTCCAAACTTCTTACACTTCTGTCTTTTCTTGTTCATTTATCATTTCTTTCTTATTTGGGCACCTGTCTCCTTTTTTCTTGCACACAACAGATGCTCAATAAATGAGTCATCAGTTTATTAATTTATACACACGTTTTATCTTTACTAAAACTGTGACTTTGTAATTTCCTGAAGGCAAGGAAATAATACCTAATTCAAATTTAGTAACTCCCCCAGAGCCTTGTGCAATGCCTGGCATGTAATGGGTGCTAATTAAGTCTGTTAAAGGAATGAATGAATAAATGAATGAAACTCTACTAACTAGCACTGTGATAGGACACATAACAGATGTTCATGAAATGTTTGCTGTGATATAAACATCTTTACTGTCAAGCACAATGCCTGGCACATAGTAGGTGGTCTTAATTAAAAGTTTGCTGAATAAATTAATGTACTATCTCTACTGCTTACCATAGGGCTAAGCATAGAATAGATGTGCTTTAAAAGCTTTTTGAAAGAAATGGGGTGCCTGGCAGGTTCAGTTGATAGAGCATGTGACTCTTGATCTCAGGGTCATGAGTTTGAGCCCAACACTGCGTAGAGTTTACTTAAAACAATATACATAGGGGCGCCTGGGTGGCTCAGTGGGTTGAAGCCTCTGCCTTCGGCTCGGGTCATGATCCTGGGGTCCTGGAATCGAGCCCCACATCGGGCTCTGTGCTCAGCGGGGAGCCTGCTTCCCTTCCTCTCTCTCTGCCTGCTTGTGATCTCTGTCAAATAAATAAATAAAATCCTTTAAAAAATCTTTTAAAAATATACATATATTTGTTATATATAGTATATATTACATATTTTATATATTATATAATATATAATTATATAATGTTTAGAAATATATATTACAGATTGTAAATATGTGGATATATATCTATATATTCATATATTTATATTATATACTATGTAAATATATAATAGAATATAATATATTTATATTATATATAACATATAATTATATATTATAATGATCATATGTGATATATATTTTTTAAGATTTTATTTATTTATTTGTCAGAGAGAGAGAGGGAGAGAGCGAGCACAGGCAGACAGAATGGCAGGCAGAGGCAGAGGGAGAAGCAGGTTCCCTGACAAGCAAGGAGCCCGATGTGGGACTCGATCCCAGGACGCTGGGATCATGACCTGAGCCGAAGGCAGCTGCTTAACCAACTGAGCCACCCAGGTGTCCCTCATATGTGATATTTAATAATATATAAATATATACTGTCTATATTATATAAGACATTATATATTGTTATATAATATAAAATATATGTGTAATATACTATATATATTATGTATAATATGTATAATACATATAATATATATAAATATATATGACACAGGACAAATAAATTTATATATATTAATATATGTTAACACTTAGCACAGTACCTGGCATATAGTAGGTTCACACACAGTGATTGGATTTCATTATCAACGTCCCTAGTGCCAACCATGGTGCTAAGACACAGAGTAGGTCTTCATTAAAAATCTGTTGAATGAAGGTGTTGCCAGATACTGGTATAGGGTCGGCTGGAAGAATCAATGCATGCAACGCTAGGGCTTTACAAAGAGCAAAAAGACTGGGCAAGTGTTGATGACATATTAGTTGAATGAATGCATCCCAGTGCTTGGCAGAGGGCCTGGCACATACTCTTGGAGGGCAGCTGGGTTGAATGGACTAATAGAGCCCTGTTTCTTTTCCAGGTGTGGCCTCTAGAGCCCGACTCTGTCAGGACGAGCCTCTGCCCCTTTAAGGAGGGTGAGAAGACCAGGGCTGGGGCCAGGGTGGGAAGGGTGCAGGTGGACACATGCTGGGTGCCCAGTGACGCAGCCCTCTTCTTGCAGACCCCCGGGCACACCGGAACCTCTGGCGTGCAGCCCGGCTGCGGCTACGGTCCCCCCGGGGCTGGCAGCTAAATGCACCCTGCTTGCTGTTTGCTGAGGCCATTCTGTGTTGGCAGGCACCAGGCGGGGGTCCCTGCCTGTCGCTGGTCCCACCACTGTCCCGAGAAAATGTCACTGTAAATGTAAGTGAAGCCGTGGGAGGCTCCTGGGATCAAGAAATGACGGGGAGCTTGGGGGGCCTATTTCCTGACCTCACCCATTACCCTTTTCCCACAGAAGACACTTGAGTTGCCATTGCTGAATGCCCACCCCAACCTCTGTGTTCAGGTAAGAAGGGCACAAGAGTTCCGGGCTAGGGGAGGACCCCAAGTGGACCCCACCAGATAATTCACTGTCTTCTGGACCCACTTTATCCCTTGGGTCATAGGAGCAAAGTTGTTTGGGGCTACCTCTGAAAGTTGTACAATTTATTTAGCAGTACTATGGGACTCTGAGCAAGTCACTTCACCACTCTGAACATCAGTCTCCTAATCTGTTTAATGGGGATGATAATAACTACTTCACAGTAGTGAATAAAACCAATCTATAGTTCCCACCCTATAGATCTTGTTTTCTAATGGAGAAAGAGAGGGATGCAGGGGTGGCTTAGTTGGTTGAACGTCTGCCTTCAGCTCAGGTCATGATCCCAAGGTTCTGGGATGAGTCCTGCATCAGGCTCCTTGCTCAGTGGGGAGCCTGCTTCTCCCTCTGCCTGCTGCTCCCCCTGCTTGTGCTTGCTCTCTCTCTGACAAATAAATAAAATCTTAAAAAAAATAATGGAGGAAGACACAGACTGAATGAATAATACAATATACAAGTGGAGTGGTCAGATGAGGCCTCTTGGTGAAGGTGGTTAGATGAGAAGGGAACGTAGAAAGTGCTTTATCAGACATGAAAAGAACTAATTTAGGGTCATAAGGCTCTTTAGCACAGATGCCCTCGCAAGGCTGTGGCTGAGAAAAATAAAGTATCTCTTAATCACCCATCCTTGAATTCTGATCTGGTTAACATTAGGTCCAGGATGCAGATCCCCTACTCCAACCAAACAGACCTCCCCTTACTGTCCTTCTCTTCTGTTCTTTGTGGCCTTGCCTCTTGCTTTTCCTTGTGGCCCTAACCTTGGCCCCTTCTAAGCAGGTGAGCAGCTGGGAGAAGCTGCAGCTACAGGAGTGCTTGTGGGCTGGTGAGTGGAGCCTGGGAAAGGCTGGGGCAGGGCCATTGCAATAGAGGTGAACCCTGGAAGTGCCACCTCATGGGGGTGAAGATAGGCATGGGAAGGGGTGGGGGCAAGTGGCAGCCTCCAGCATGCTTGGGTCTTGCTCAGAGTGGGCTCTCACCCCTTCCAGATTCCCTTGGGGCCCTCAAGGATGATATGCTGCTGCTAGAGACACGTGGCCTCCAGGACAACAGATCACTCTGTGCCTTGGAACCCAGTGGCTGCACCCCACTACTCAGCCGGGCCTCCACGGTGAGGACGAGGGGGCCCTCCTCCATGTACCTTTCCAGTCCATCTCAAGCCTGGCCTCAGATTTTCACTGCATTCAATTTCCCCTCCTTTGTGCCAGACCCTGCACTGCTCTCTGGGAACGTGGGGGTGACTCAGACCTAGGCCCTGTTCTTAGTGATCTCTTAGAAGTCTCCAGCCACTCCCCTCCCCCCAACTATTCTGCAAGCTGCAGCTTGGTGGTCTCCTAAGTATGATGCCCCTAGGTGACAATCTCCCTTTGGTTTGGCAGAGGGCAGCTCGCCTCGGAGAGCAGTTACTACAGGACCTGCAGTCAGGCCAGTGTCTGCAGGTGAGTGGGTGGCAGGAGGGCCCTGCCCCAGTGCCCAAGGCCAATAGGTCTAAAACTCTGTATTTAACTTCTTCCATCTTTTCCTGTGCCTAGCAGAGGATACCAGGGAAACTCTCACTCCTCCTAGACAGGGGCCTCTTCACTGTCCCTCTGGTACCCACTCACCATCTATTTCTGCTTATTTTGTGTCCAGCCCTGGGGAAGCCAAGAATTGAAGAAGCATAGCTGCTGTTCCCAAGTTGCTCACTGCTGGCTAGAAAACAGTACACAGATAACCAAATTTATATACACTAAGCATTGGGTTCCAGGGAGAGCGTCAAGAAAGGGTGATTTCACGTGGGCCAGTTCCGGCATGGAGTAGGCACAGCATGAACAGAGGCAGAGCAGCTTTCGGGGACCTACTGTGTGTGTGTGTGTGTGTGTGTGTGTGTGTGTGTGTGTGTGTGACATATGCATACCTGAGGCTGGGAATTTGGAGATCAGGCTGGCCAGAACTTGGTGGGTGTTCTGGGCTGTGGCCTTGGTTTTGTTTGTGTCTTGCAGCTCTGGGAAGATGACCTGAGAGCACTATGGGCCTGCCCTATGGACAAGTGTGAGTATTACAAAATCTGCCCTTCCCCTCCACCAAGGGCTGGAAACTAGACATTTTTAGGGAGCTCATGCAATGGCCTTGTCCTTCCCTGGCTCAGATCAATCAGACGGACATTCCTTCCTTCATTCAAAAACAAAAAAGAAAGCTTACAGGGATTCAAGCATCACCAAAAAGACACAGTCCCTGCCCCCACCACAGCCATAGAAGGCTAGAAAGACCTTAGCTAAATAATTGCTTGCATTTAGTAAATGTGAGCTATTGAAGCATTTACTTATAAAGTGTCCAGACCCATAAATGCATATATTGGGAAACTGACTTAAGTGGGATGAGGCCAGGAAAAGGTTCTGGCTGTTCTGAAGGCTGAGCTAGTTAAAGCGGGGAGAGATGCTTTTTTGAGGAACTCCAAGGTAGCCAGTGTGGCTGGAGGGTCTTGGAAGGCAGACTTCTATCACAACGATTCAAGTGTCATCTAGGGCCTTGATGGGAGGAATTAGATTTTTTTTTTTTTTTTTTTAAGAGTGGGTAGGGGCAGAGAGAGAATCTTAAGCAGACTCCACACCTTGATCTCACAACCCTGAGATCATGACCTGAGCCAAAACCAAGAGTAATAAAACCCTTAACCAACTGAGTCACCCAGGTGCCCCCTAGGAAATTGGATTTTATGTTAAGAGCAATGGGAGCCTCTTGAAAGGCTATAATCAAATTTGTATTTTAAAAAGATTTCTGGGGCTGCCATGTAGTGAAGGACTTAGAGGTTTAGGGACACCAGTTAGAAGGCTTTTGGAGTCATCAAGAGAGTGAGGTCAAGGGCCCAGCAACCCTATGCTTAGGAGACAATATTAGCTGACATTTGAGCACTTGCTAGGCCCAGCGTAAGTGCTTTGTGTGTATTAATATTTGTAGTCTTCAAACAACCCTAGTAAGTAGGTACTTGTTGTGAACCCAGTTTTACAGAGGTAAAAACTGAGGCAAAAGATTAAGTGACTTATCCGAGGTCACTCAAGTAGATGGATCTATGTCCATATGTTGACTCTGACACTATATGCGGTGGATTTGCGGCAGATCTTTCCATTTCCCTGAGCCAGTCCAGTCACCACATGGCAGCCCCAGAGATCTTTTAAACGAGTTTTTCTCCTTCGTGAAGTAGGGTGAAAGTGTTAGGTATTTAACTAGCCTGTCCTCTCCCCTGGGTCTCCTAGACGTTCACCAGCGCTGGGCCCTGGTGTGGCTGGCCTGCCTACTCTTGGCCTCTGCACTTTTCCTTCTCTTCCTTGTCAAAAAGAACCAAGTGAAAGGTGAGCACTTCCCGACCCCCCACTCCCCAAGGGCAGGGCTGGGAGTTCTCCCTCGAGAGGGTGGCGGCTGAGCTCATGGGCTGCCCCCGCCCCTCTCCCCTAACAGGGTGGCTGAGGCTCTTGAAGGAGGACCTCCGCGCGGGGGGTGAGTGTGAGCAAGTGCCGTGCGGGGTGCCGCCCTCAGGGGGCCAGGCCTCGGGCCTTCTCACGTCTTCTTTTCCCCTCTATTCTCTCCCGCAGCTGTCGCCAGGGGCCGCGCGGCTCTGCTCCTCTACTCAGCGGAGGACTCTGGTTTCGAGCGCCTGGTGGGCGCCCTGGCCTCAGCTCTGTGCCAGCTGCCCCTGCGGGTGGCCGTGGACCTCTGGAGCCGTCGTGAACTGAGCGCGCAGGGCCCCCTGGCCTGGTTCCACGCGCAGCGGCGCCAGACCCTTCAGGAAGGGGGCGTGGTGGTCCTGCTCTTCTCGCCGGGTGCCGTGGCGCTATGCCACGAGTGGCTGCAGGACGGGGCGTCAGCGTCCGCCCCGCACGGCCCGCACGACGCCTTTGCCGCCTCGCTCAGCTGCGTGCTGCCCGACTTCCTGCAGGGCCGGGCGCCCGGCCGCTACGTGGGGGCCTACTTCGACGGACTGCTCCACTCGGAGGCCGTGCCCGCCCTTTTCCGCAGCGTACCCGTCTTCTCCCTGCCCTCCCAGTTGCCCGACTTCCTGGGGACCCTGCAGGGGCCTGGCACCCCCCGTCCCGGGCGGCTCGGGGAGAGGGCGAAGCGAGTGTCCCGGGTCCTGCAGCCCGCCCTGGACCAGCTGCTTCAGTCTCCCGGGGATCCCAGGGATCCCGAGGACGGCACGCGGGTTGGCACGTGAGGCAGGGGCGACGGCTCGAATAAAGGCAGACGCTATTTTTCTACCGGTGTCTCCCGCCTGTGTCCGTGACAGCCTCGCGGGCCTAGCACGACGCCCGCGGCCCTTTAACACCCGGACAGGTGCAGCCTGGCACCGCCTGCGGGTGGCTGACGTGAGGTGACGCAATGGCACATGGACTGCCACCATTGGCTAAGGGTGGACCCTGCTCCGCCCCCCAGGCTGCGGAGCCGGCGGAGGCCGCACGTCTTACGCCGGCGTGGCTGCTGCGGCGTTGGGGAGATTGAGCTGTCGGCTCCAACGGGCTGGGTGGGTCGTCTCTTCCTCCCACGCAGCCTATGCGGGTCTGGATCCTCCCCTGCCTGCTAGAGGCCGCGCCTTTGCAGCCTGCGGGCCCGCAAACCTGACCCCCTTCTCTTCATATCCGGATATGGGCTCCACCCCCCTAGACCTGGGTTCCGTTCCGGACTCCTCCCCCCTCCCCGAGACCGCCCATCCGGCCTCTACTACCCTAATACTTGGACTCTGACCCATTCTCCCAAATTCCGCTGATCCTGGCCCTAATAACAATCCATATTCAGACCTTAAAACAATGAGTTGACTTCTCCCTTGCTAAGGATTCAGGCCACCTCTCCCACGGTGACAAGGATAACTTACTCCTGTCTTGGAACTGCTGAACAGGCTCCTTTCTCACCACTTCCCCTCCCCCGGTCGTCCCCCTAGTCTAGCCTCCTATTAATAACACAGATTCGGGATCCCAGACCCGCGGCACCTCCGAACCAACCCTTTTTTTCTCACTTGACTCCTCCAGTGAGTCATTCCCATTCCCTCTTATCTACAGGTTCCCGGCCTGGGAAAAGATGACCTCACTGGCCCGGAGGGGCCTGGTCCCACCTCTACTCTGGGGCCTGAGTCTCTTCCTTAGGCTCCCAGGTCCCGTCTGGCTCCAGCCCTCTCCACCTCCCCAGTCTTCTCCCCCAACTGAGCTCCATCCATGTCATACCTGCCGGGGACTGGTCGACAGCTTCAACAAGGTGGGTGCCCGAGCAGCCTTGTGGGAGATGGCCTAACCATGATAGCACAGGGGTTAAGAAGAGTTCTGGGATGCAAGTCTGCATGAGTCAAGTACCAGCTTGGTTGCTTACTAGTTGTATGACCTTGGGCAGGTTGCCTCTCTGTGCCTCAGTGCCCTGGGCAGTGAAACACAGAAGTGCTAGGATGTGCCAGGCACTGTACTTAGCTATTACTAATGTTCTCTGTTTCCAGGGCCTGGAGAGAACAATCCGGGATAACTTTGGAGGTGGAAATACTGCCTGGGAGGAAGAGAAATTGTCCAAATACAAAGACAGGTAAGGGGCTGGAGAGGTGGGTTTATATACCTCACCTCCCAATCTTGGCTCTACTGGTGGGGGCCTTGAAACTCTTGAGACTCAAATATCACTGACCATCTCTAGTACAGCAGTAAATAAGGCAAGCAAAATCCCATCTGCAAGGTGCTTAAATTCCAGTTGAAGAGACAGTGAATAAGTAAATAAATAATGTCGTATCAAATGAAGAACAGGAAGACTATGGAAGGGTGGGAGGCATGGAGTTCAAGGTGTGACATTTGAACCGAAACCTGAAGCGAAGAAGCAAGCTATGTGACAGGGAAGGGATTTGGACAGAGTGGGACTGAGCTTGGTGTATTTGAGAAGAGGCTGGATGGGAGTGAGCAGACGAGAGTGATCGAACGTGAAGCCAGGGTGCCTTGAAGGTCACAGAATGGTGTTTAGATTTCGTTCTGAGTGTAATGGGAAGTCATTGGAAAGTTTGGAGGTGAGAGGTGATGTCTTGTTTTTACCTTTAAAAGATCACTCACTGCGATGTAGCAAAACTACTGTAGGGACTGGAGTGGAGGAAGCAAGGAGACCATTTGGGAGGCTAGTCTAAGTACGACAGCAGCATGAGCTGGTGTGGTCCAGTTCTGGGTATATTTTGCAGATGGACTGATAGGCCTTGATGATGGAATCATTATGGGGTAGGAGAGAAAAAGAATAAAAAGTACTTATAGGTTTGGGGCCTGAGCAACTGGGTGAATAGTGGGGCTGTTTTCTGGTATGGGTAAATGTGAAGCAGGAGAGGATATAATATAGGGAAGGGGTGGGATTAGGTGTCCTTGAACATATTGGGCTGGGATGTCCCTTAAACAGCCAAATAGAGTTAGATTGAGGCATCTGAGGTTCAGGGGAAAAGTAGGAGCTGGAAACCTGAACTGGGGGGTCATCAGCATATAGTCAGTATTATAAAGCCATGGGATGACATGAGACCATGAGACAAAAGGCCTGAGTGCTAGGCCCTCCCACTCTTCAAAGTCAAGTTAAGAAGGAATCAGCAAGACTTGGAGTTAGACAGATCTGGTTGTCAGTTCTGACCCTGTGTACCCTTGGGAAGGTCACTTAACCCCTCTGAGCCTCAGTTTCTTCATCAGTAAAATGGGGACATTGATACTTGGTTTGCCTATTTCATAGGATCGTGGTAAGGATTAAACTGTGATGCCCACTAGAAACAAAAGATTTTGTTATTATGTAACATTGGTCATTTTCCTTTCCCTTAATGGGCCTCAGTTTCTTCATTTAGGAGTGAGGGGATCAGCCAAGATAACCTAAAGGACACTTCTAGCTGTATACTGGCTCCTGTTTTTTGTTTGTTTGGTTTTTGTTTTTTAAGTCCTCTCCTCCTATATGCCAGGCACATGCCAGACCCTTTAAATACAGAATATATGTGTGTATGTGTATATATGTATTTTTAAAAAATTTATTGAGGTAAAATATATATATATACATATATATAAATATATAAATATATAAATAAATAATATAATATATATTATATAATATATTCTTATATATTATATATAATATAATAACATATATAAATATATATATAATGTAAAATTTGCCACTAGAGACATTTAGTATATGTACAGTGTTTTGCAACCTTTACCACTATCTCATTCCAGAGCATTTTTATCAACCCACAATGGAACTCCATACCTATGAAGCAGTCACTCCCCATTCTCCCCTTCCCCCAGCCCCTGGCAACCATTACTCTGCTATCTGTGTGGATTTGCTGATTTTACTGGAATCTATATGTGTCTGGCTTCTTTTAGTTAATGTATTGTTTTCAAGGTTTGTTCATAATATATTAACATATTAACAAATGTCAGTAGTTCATTCCTTTTTAAAGCTTAATAATATTTCATTGTATGGCTTTACCACATTTTGCTTACCCATTCTTCAGTTGATGAACAACTGGATTGTTTCTACCTTTTGGCTATTGTATATAGAATTGCTACAGATGTTTGTGTACAGGTTTTTGTTTGAACACCTATTTTCTGTTCTTTGGGGCATGTAACCAGGAGTGGAATTACTGATTTTTGGGGTAATTCCATGTTTAACCGAACTGCCAAACTGTTTTCCACAGTGACTGCACCATTTTTCTTTCCCACCTTCAATGTAGGAGGCTTCCAATTTCTCCACAGCCTTGCCAACACTTGTTATGTGATGTATTTTTAATCACATATACCCAGTAAGGGTATTACATTTCATTGCGCAAATGCAGGAACTGAGGCATCTTACAGTACATCTGCAGGATGGGTTATTGTCTCCATTTTACAGATGAGAAAGCAGAGGTTTGGGAGAGGTTAAGTGACTTGCCCAAGGTCACTCAACTGGATTCAAACCCAGGTCTATCTGACTCCCCAACTGAGTACCCTTTCCGTTACACCCTCTGGCCTTTCCTTTGGTGTCATGGCACAAGCTGGGTGGGAGAGGAGACCTTAAGGAGGGTGGTGGATGGGGTAGAACATAGTCCTGCCACCCCCACCCTGTCCGGGCAGTGAGACCCGCCTGGTTGAGGTGCTCGAGAGCGTGTGCAGCAAGTCGGACTTTGAGTGCCACCGCCTACTGGAGCTGAGTGAGGAGCTGGTGGAGAGCTGGTGGTTTTACAAGTGAGTTGTTGGGGGCCTTCCCAGGGAGGGGGCCACAGGCAGGGCCTGGTGGTAGAGGAGGGGGTTGCATGCTTGGGTCTGTGTCCTGGTTTGGCTCTTTCTTCCAAACCTAGATCTGCTAAAGACACGGTTGGGGGACCCAGGTTCTCACTGTGAGCTTCAGTTTACTCCTCTGCCAAATAGGGAGAGGGTGTTGGTCAGGTAGCCTTGTGGGTCTTATATCCGAGGTGGGTAGTAGCACAGATATTTGGGGAGGCTGGTGGGTGGGCAGCACCTCTGGCACTGTCTCAGCCCCCCTTACTGTCATCCCCACCCCAACCCCTTCAGGCAGCAGGAAGCCCCGGACCTCTTCCAGTGGCTCTGCTCAGATTCCCTGAAGCTCTGCTGCCCATCAGGCACCTTCGGGCCCTCCTGCCTTCGTGAGTTTTCAAGCTCTTCTTGGGGGATAAGCGGGCATTGCCAAAGCCAGGGATCCAGTCCTGGTTCTGTCCCATAGCTCACTGTGTGAGCTCAGGTTGCTCAGATAATTCCTCTGGACCTTAGGTTCTCCTCTGCCTCACAGGGCTGTTGAGATGAGCAGATCAGTGGGGAATGGCTGTGAGAAAAAGGTAATAGGGCTAGACAGTCAGATGGGGCTGTGGTTTTTCTCATGTGCATGAGAAGTGCCCTCACCCACACCCCCATTTCCTATGCCTGGATCAGATCAGACCCATCCCCTGAACTAAGGTGACCTAGGGACAGGCAGGTGCTGCACCAAAGCCCCCATTTTCACCTTTTTCTACACACAGTCCTGAGGGAGGAGCTGTACCTACCACCAGACCCTTTTAGAAAAATCTCTCTGGAAGCTTCAGATAAAGACTTAGTAACCCGAAGAATAAAATAAATAAATTGAAAACAAACAAAAAGGGGAGTTAGTGACAAAGATGATTAATTCAGTCTTTATAAAAGGAAAGATTTGTAAGTAATCTGTTCTACAGGAGGGTATTGGTTAAGTACATGTCCCATGAGGTATTATGTGGCCCTGAAAATTAAGTTTCTTCCCCCAAAATGTTTAATGATATGGGGGAATATTCTCTGTGTTCACGATTGTATTTGTGATGTTACCTGGTTTGGTGTCTGCCCACAGCCTGTCCTGGGGGCACAGAGAAGCCCTGTGGTGGCTACGGGCAGTGTGAAGGGGAAGGGACTCGAGGGGGCAGCGGGCGCTGTGACTGCCAAGCCGGCTACGGGGGCGAGGCCTGTGGCCAGTGTGGCCTTGGCTACTTTGAGGCAGAGCGCAACGCCAGCCATCTGGTATGTTCGGGTAGGTAGCCAAGAGGCATGGGGCTGGGTAGGAACCAATGGGGTGCCTGCCTGCCCATCCTCACACTTTCTCCGTTCCCCACAGCTTGTTTTGGCCCCTGTGCTCGCTGCTCAGGCCCTGAGGAATCAAACTGCCTCCAGTGCAAGAAGGGCTGGGCCCTGCATCACCTTAAGTGTGTAGGTGAGTGAGGCCCTGCCCTCGGTGTGGGAAGGTGGTCCCCATCAACATGCACATCTCTGGGCTAGACCAATACAGTCCCCATCTTCATGGAGATCTCAACCTGGTTGGAAAGGCAGAAGAGTAACCAGGCAGTTAGAGTATAGACAGATCTCTGTGCTGTTAGAGATGTCCCTGAGCCAGCTCTGTGCTGGGGGGGCAATCAGGAAAGGCTTCTTGGAGGAGGTACCACTTAGGCCAAGTCTTGAAAATTGAGAAAGGATTAGCCAGGGAAATGAAATACTTAACTTGGGGTCAGGAAGCCTGGGTTCAAGACTTGGTTTGGTCTCTGTCCTGCTATTTATGTAGACGAGGGTAAAGGGTAAGCTGCTATAACAGAAAGATCACCAAAGACTGTGGCTTAAAGAATATAGAGTTTTATTTTTATCTCTATCACAGTCTCAAAACAAGTGGTCCAGGCCAGGCAGGGAAGTTCTGCTTGTCACAATCATTCTGGGACCTAGTACTGCCTGTCTTACTGTGTGGTCATCCCCTTGGGACAGTTCTGTTGTTCGAGGTTGGGTGACAGGTACCTCTGTGTTCCATGACCCAACACTCAGGAAGTGAGAATGGGAAGAAAGTGCATGGAGGAGTCCAATTCTGTCATTTTAAGGCCAAGCTAAAAGTGGGGCACATCACTCCTGTTTACATCCTGTTGGCCAGAACTCAGTTTCAGGCCACGCTTAGCTTTGAGGCAGATTGGAAAACGCAGTCTCTGGCTGGGCAGCCCTGAGTCCCACTGCACCTGTGCCTCTGGCACACGGCCTGCGGTCTCTGGCCCACCATCTGAGTGGGGGCAGGTCTATTCCCCAACAACCCTGGCCTCGACTTCCCTGCTAGTGCAGTAGGGACTGAAATTCCCGCCCTGCCGGCCTCTTTGCAGACATTGACGAGTGTGGCACAGAGCGAGCCAGCTGTGGAGCCAACCAGTTCTGTGTGAACACAGAGGGCTCCTATGAGTGCCGAGGTAAGTGCCAGTCCCAGAGTGGAGGGTGGTGGGGAAGGTAGGAGGTTCTGCTCCATGCCTTTCCCCCTAATTTCTTCAGGAGTGGGGCTTCCCCCTCCATAATCCACCCTGGGCCTAAGGGCAGCTCTCACTCATCTGTCCTCTCGCCTCTCCAGACTGTGCCAAGGCCTGCCTGGGCTGCATGGGGGCGGGCCCAGGCCGCTGTAAGAAGTGTAGCCCTGGCTACCAGCAGGTGGGCTCCAAGTGTCTCGGTGAGTCTCCTGCTACTGGGGCATAGACGCCGTGGAGTGCTTTGTCCACCATGAATTGAGAACGGCTGGGGGGATATGGACAGGGCAGGAGAAGGAAGGATGGAATGTTGTTTGGGCAAGGGCAGAGGGGAGTGTCTGGATGTGAGTGAGATGGGAGTCAGGGTTGCTGTATGTGGGACTCTGGCAGTGGGGGCCTGACCCTGGCTCACCCTCCCTTAAGATGTGGATGAATGCGAGACCGAGGTGTGTCCAGGAGAGAACCAGCAGTGCGAGAACACCGAGGGAAGCTATCGCTGTGTCTGTGCCGAGGGCTACAAACAGATCGAGGGCATCTGTGTGAAGGAGCAGATCCCAGGTGAGCCTCCTAGTGGCCCCCAGAAACCTGAGGAGGGGAGGTGCTCATCCAGGGGAAGGACAGGCAAGACCCTTCTCCAGGGACCCACAGGCCCTGCCCCATGACCCTGGGCACTGCCTGCATGAGGCTGCACTGAGACTCAAACCCTACATCTTATCTCCAGGCTGACTTCTAGCCATCTCACACCTCCCAGGGTAGAAAGAAAATCACACTTGGTGTCAAATCACTCTGCCTCCATTCTCATCTGTCCAATGGGACCAATTCTTGCCTGGGGCTGCTGAGAGCTGTTGCAGGCTGTAGGTGTGATGAGGTGAAGGACAGTCACACTGATGACAATAGGGACCACTTGCACAGCTCTGGCCGTGTGTCAGATGCTGTCCCGAGCATGTGGCATGTATTAATTTATTTTGCTTCTAAAACAAATCCAGTGCTGTTGGTATTACTCTCATCCCCATTTTACACAGTGGAAACTAGGATGCAGAGATGAAATAACTTGCCCAGGGCCACGTGACAAGCAGGTCGCAGAGACAGGAGTCAAAGCCAGGCAGTCCGGCTCTGGAGCTGGCCTAGTACACATGCTGTGTCCTGATGTGTCCACCACATGGCCTTGGGCAAACCTCTTTACCTCTCTGAGCCTTAGTTTCCCACTCAGTGAGATAGGGACAACGACTGTCCCGTCGGAGTTGTTCTCAGTGGCAAATAACATCGTTTGCCAGGCAGGCAGGCATGCGGCAGCAGTGATGCGGTGTGTGGGGAACTCCAGGAACAGGGGAGGAGTAACAGGTGCATCTCTTGCTCTTCAGAGTCAGCAGGCTTCTTCTCGGAGATGACAGAGGACGAGCTGGTGGTGCTGCAGCAGATGTTCTTCGGGGTCATCATCTGTGCGCTGGCTACACTGGCCGCCAAGGGCGACTTGGTCTTTACCGCCATCTTCATCGGGGCTGTGGCGGCCATGACCGGCTACTGGTTGTCAGAGCGCAGTGACCGCGTGCTGGAGGGTTTCATCAAGGGCAGATAATCTCTGCCACACCTGCAGGATCTCTTCCCATCCAGGCTGTCCCCAGAGGTCAGCCTCTCTCCTGCCTGGACACTTGAGGCAGCTTGCTTTATTTCTGAGTGGGGTAAGCACCCTCTATCCACCAGGCCTGGGCAGGTGAGGCTCTTGGGAGTGAAAAAGTAGCTCTGAATATGGATGCCATGAGATCTTGGCCTGGGGGAGCTGGGCAGGCTTCATGTGTGTGAATTTTTAAAAAAGTATCTCTTTGTGATGACTGCTAATGGGCTTTGGCCCCTGCTTAGGATGAGGGGGGTTCTCTGCAGGGGTGGGCCCATCACAGCCCCCTCCTGCCAGCTGCATGCTGCCAGTTCCTCCTCCGTACTCACCCCCCGCCCCTCAGCCACTGATTATTTATTCATCTCAGGAAATAAAGGTCTTGGAAAGTAGAGAAGCTTCAGTCTCATCACCTGCCTCCTACTCCCCATGGGTTGGCCTGAGCTACTGAGAGCCCCCAGCCCTTGGGGAAATATTTTAAAACCCTAGGAAATTGAGGGTTACCCTGATGGAGGAGCAGTAGAGGGAGGATCAAGAGGCTTCGACCTAAGTAGTGTTAGGAGTCAGAGGGGTGGAGGAACCAGGCTTTGGAGTGGAACTTCCTGGGTTCAGTGCCAGCTCTCATTTGCCAAAAGACCCTGGACAAATTACTTTTTCTCTGAACTTCCCTCTTCCCATCTGTAAAATGGGCATGACAGTGCTTTCCACTCAGGCTTAGTATGAGAAGTAAGATGATGGATATGAAGAGCTGAAGACAATGCACAACAGACAAGAGGTGCTACAAATTATTGGTAGCCATTATTCCTAAAGCCTCTGTTGGAAGAATCAAGTGCCCTTTCCTTTTTAAGTCCTCTCCTCCCCAACATACACAGGACTTGGGACTGCTGGGGGGTGGGGACTGCTACCTCCTCTCTGAACAGGATCCTGGCATGGCCAGAGGGAGGCATAAGCCAACTCCTAAGGGTTTATTTCTTTGGCACAAAGAGGACAATCAGTCTGGACAAGCAAGCCTCATCTCTCCACACTGGGGAGTCTGGAGGGGTGTCTGGGGGTAACTGGACCCCATATCCCACACCCAAATCCATGCATGTCCACCCTGTATTCCGCGTAAGTCACAGCCTCTGTGCAAAATACCCGTTGGAAAAAAAAAAAAAAATTAAAAAACAAACCAAAAAAAACGGGGGTAGGTTCATGCCCGGCTGTTTTCAAGTGACTGTCAGGTGGTAGCCCGGGAATGCCAGTTTTTCAAATGTTCAGCTGTCCCAATGGGCCATGCCCTATGGCCATCGAGGGTGGGGCCCTGGTCCTGCATTCCTCGACCCCTCAGAGCTCAATGGTGTCACTGGAGGCGCTGCGGGAGTCCCCAGGCTTGCTGCGAGGCTGGACCTCACTCTGAGGTTCCCCGGGCCGGTCGGGGGGTGAGGCTGGGGCTGGGGCAGGCAATAGCTGCACGGTGCTGGGCAGCTCATCCAGGGGCAGACTGTCCACCGATGACAGCCCGTGACGCCACGGGTTCCAGCTGATCTTGAGCGAGCCCCGGGAAAAGCTGTCCATGGAGCTGCGAGAGGGCGCCCCGTCAGGGTCGTCCGCGACGTGCGGTGGGACCGGGCCGCGCACGCGCACGTCGCTGAGAGACCGGCAGCGGCCCCGCAAAAGAGAAGAGCCGGCGCCGTCGAGCTCGGCATCGGGGTGACTGCCCCGCCGCGGCCGCAGCGCGCCCCCAGGCGGCGAGGAGGCCAGGCCGCGCAGGCCACAGCGCCGGAAGACGCTGTCTCGCACCAGGTGCTCTCGAAAGAGCGCGGCGTCGATGCTGCGGCTCAGGTTGATGGGCGATGGCGGCCGCAGATCCAGCTCGCTCATCGACGGCGCCGGCCCCACGCTGTTGCGGGACAGTCCCGGGCCACCCTGGGGGCCGCGGCCCAAAGACGCAGCGGAGCCCCAGGCACCTGAACTGGGCGTGGCGGGCGGCCCGCCCTCCGCCGGGTTGCGGATGAGACTCTTGCTGATGTCCAAGCTGCCTGCGCCGACGCTACTGGGCCCTGCATAGCAGTTGTTGGGTCGCTCAGGCACCTCGCTCTTGCCTGAGGGCGTGGGGCACGCCAGGCGTAGCAACTTAGCCCAGCAAGCGTGCTCCGTGGGCGGCCGGGGCCGTGCGGCGGCCACAGCAGCCAGCGCCAGGGCCAGGGCCCAGGTCAGCTCCAGCAGGCGCAGCCAGAAGTGGACACCCCACCAGGCCCACGAAAAGCGACCCACCCGGCCTGGGCCTGGGTATAGCCAGAGCGCGGCCGCCAGCTGCAAGCCACTGGCCAGCAGCCCCAGCGCGCCGGCCACGGCCAGCAGCCGCGGGCCCGGGCTGGCATCCCAGCCCCGAGGCCCGTCCAGCAGGCGGCGACGGCAAAGGCAGAGCGTGCCCAGAGACACGGTCGCGCCCCAGGCGCACGACAAGCCCTGAGCCAGGAGGTTGAGCGCAGGCCGCACCGACAGCAAGTCAGTAGTCAGCAACCCCACGCCGTGCACCAACGCCAGCGCTCCCAGCAGGAGCGGGTTCTGCAGCTGCTGGGGCAGCCCCACGCCTAGACCGAGCAGGGTCAGGGCCGCCAGCGCAGTGAGCAGCAAGGGGAAGGGCAGGTTGTAGAGTACCAGGCCGGCGCGTAAGCCCAGTCGTGCCTGAGAGCCGTAAGGGTCGGCGAGCATGTAGGCAGATCGAAGCCCGGATGCTACCAGCACGAGCACCGCTGCCACCAGAGCCAGCCGGGGCCCCGCAGGGGCGGCTGCCAGGGAGGCCAGTGCCAACAACGCGGGCAAGAGGAAGAGCACCCCCACCCCATAGACGTGCAGCTCCCAGGAAAAGCTCAGCACCCGCCGGAGGGGACCCCAGCGCAGAGGAGGTGCGGTAGCATTGGCGGGGGGGCTGGTGGCTGGGGCTGATGGTACGGAGCTGGCTGAGGGCTCCGAAGGGGGTGGCTGGCCCAGGGCGCGCTGCGTGGTGACCCGAATGAGGCCCCGGCGTGACGTTGAGGGGGCCTGGACTGGGGGTGCTGGGGGATGGCTTTGGGGGCGCCCCGGCCACTCCTCGGCTTCATCTGAAATAACAATATCAAAATAGCCCTTTGAAAAGTGCTTTTTGATTTTCCACATTCTCTAGTGTGGTGGGCAAGTTATTTAACTTTTCTAAGCACATCTATAAAATGGGGATGGTAATAGCACCTACCTCATTGGGGTGTGGGCAGGATTAAGGGCTTAGCATAGTGCCCAACACCCAATAATGTTAAATGATGTGACCTATTGCTTTTACTAATAAAATACCAGCAGTTCTCAGCATTGGCTGCCCATTAGAATCACCTGGAGACCAAGTGAATCAGATTTCCTTGCATGGGGCCTGGGTATTGGAATGTTTAAAAATCTCCACTGTTTTGCAGGAGTTGGAGAAACTGCACTAAATATATCCAAGTCACATTTAAGAATATTCTAGCCCCCAAAGGACAAATGACTTGTCCCAGAGTACCCAATGAGCATTAGTTTATTATCCTGAGTTTTTTGAAGGAGGTCCTGGTCAGTTCCTTTAAGCAGGTGTTCGTGCCCATTCACTCCTCCCAGATACCTCACACAGGTTTTTAGTTATTAGACAGAGTACCCACTCCCTCCCAGAGCCCTAGCCATGCCCTCACCTGGCTGCAGGGCCCCCACAGGGCTCTCTGTTCGATTTGTAGCTGGGCCGGGGTCCAAGGGGCCAGGAATGAGGGACTTGGGGGTACCTGGGGTCTCCAATGCTCCTCTCACCCGCTGGGGGGAGATAGGGTCTGCTCCATTCATTGCCGCTATCTCTGAAATAACAAAAGCAGTCATCACTTTGTCTGACCTTCCAGCAGTCCCCGAAGTCTGAGCCCCCAAAAGGGAGGCACAATCACCCTCATTTGGCAGAATAAGGAAAATGGTACCAAGAGGGACCAGAGGTCACACAGAAAGTGGGCCATCCAGCTACCCTGGAACACTACCCCCTCCCAGCACTGCTCAGCACCCTCAGTTTGATACCCACCTGGCTTAGGCTGCCCATCGGGAGTCTCTGTGGTAGGGGGACCTGAGGGCTGGGGTCTTGGTGAGCCCCTAACATCAGGAAGATCAGCCTGTTTGGGCGAGGGACTTGAAAGACTGACTTCCCAGGTCTCTTCACCTCCAGTCTTCTTGGGGAGCTCCACTGGCAGCCCCTCAGCAGGAGGAAGGCTTTTGGCCAATACCAGGTCTGGCTGGGACCCAGGCTCCTGAGAGGACACCACCTCAGCTGGGGATACCAAGCCAACATGAGGGAGTTCAGGATCCTGTTGGGTGAAGAGGGGCCCTCGAGCTGCCTCTTGGAAGTCCTCACCTCCTCCCTGTTCTTCTAGCACTGGCCTCCTGGTAGTGCCCAAGTGGGGAGCAAGAGTGTGTGGAGGGCCCTGGTGGTCTAAGGGGGACATTTCTGAGATGCTGATCTTGGCTTTGTCCACCAGACCCTCATCTCTAGGTGGTCGTTGCTCCACTTGGCCTCCAGGCTCCTCTGGTTCTGTGGAGGGAAGAACTGTGGCTATCCCAAGTTGGAGTCTGGGAGTTATGGGGATGAAAGTGAGATGGGGGAGGCCTACTGGATGGGGAGCTGGTGCTTCTTGCTCTATAGGCTTCTGTGAGTCAGGCAGTCCTGTCCAGCCATGAGAACTTGACCCTCGAGCCATCTGGAGGTCATCAGTTACTGGGAGTCCTTCTCTCTGAGCCCTGTGGAATGCTTTAGGTCCATGCAAGGCTGGGCCAAGAGGAGAGTCTGCTGGCTTCTCGGGTACTTCCTCAGCAGGGGCATGGGGAACATTGGAGTTCCAGGGGCCCTCATCTCTGGACTTTTCCCAGAGGAAGTCAAGGGCCTGGGGCTCTGTGCCTGTAGGGCCCTGGGGGTGGTTTCCTGGGATCAGATGTGGTTCCGAGTCCTCAAGTGGCTTGGGAAGGCCCCGGCCCAGAGCAGGGCCAGCCCCCAGGGACAGCAGCAGCAACAGCAGCAGGGGGCCATATCCACGGCCCCATGGGCTGGGAGCCATGGTCCACTCTGATGCCTGGGCCTAGAACACTCAACTTCCAGTCCTCCCTGGATGAGCCTAAAAAAAGAAGGGGGATGACATGTGAACACTGGGAGTGCCCATAGCTGCCCCAAGAAGGATGGTGGGAAAGAAAGAAGAGAGACACGGAAAAGGTCCCCCTTCCCCAGCCCCTTCGTGTTCAACCTATTCATGCTGCCCAGAGTGACCTTTTAAAACTGCATCTCTGGTCATGCCACTTGCCCTACTTCAAAACCTTCAATGGCTTCCCACTACCCTCAGAAAAGAATATAAGTTCCTCTCCTAGTCTTCCAAGGCCACAGCAGGCTGCTTATCT